TCTCTGTCTCTCACTCTCCTTTCCACCCTCTCTTAAAAAAAAAAAAACAATGGAAAAAATATCCTTGGGTGAAGAAGAACAACAAAAAATAAATAACTAAAATAAAAGGAAAGCAGCAGAAATTGTAAATAGCAAATCTCTAATAACCCTGTGGTACCATCGTCAGCTTCCCCGTCAAGCCCAGAGAGACCAGTGACCATGAGCAAAATGCTTTAAGTGGCTGATTTACCAAATTAATATAAACGGGAACTCCCACCTGTGAGAGCCAGTTCACTACTCAAACCCAAGCTTTGTTTAGATTCCCGACAAAGAGGAATTTTTTAATGAGCACTTTCTTTCTTCTGCCAATTTCTCATCCATTTCTTTTTTGTCTAAAAAGTATTAGATCATTTCTTTGACTCTCATTTTGTGGTCTGAGCATCTTATTGTAAATTCCCCTCCCATCACCCAGCCCCATGCCCGTGTATAATAATTGGTTGGTTCTTCTCCTGTTAATCTAGTCTGTGCCAATTCTATTATTTTATTACTAGAGGCCCAGTGCATGAAATTCATGCACTGGGGGGGTCCCCAGTGGCTGCCAGCTCCCATCCGGGGCCTCTCTCCCTTCCTCTGGCCAGCCCCACCTCCCGGTCGAACTCTTGGACGAACTCCCCATGGAGAGGACAGTCTGCATACTATGCTTTTATTATGTAGAACTAAAGAAGGGTGGAAGGATTCTCACTGTCCAAGACACAACCCTTGTACCAAGTTGTTGAAAATAGCTTGTCTTTACCACCTGGCCAACAATGTCTCCTATGAGTACAGTTTATACAAACTGTTTTTATTTTATTTTTAAAATGTTTTTTATTGATTTCAGAGAGAAAGGGGTAGGGAGAGAGAGATAGAAACATCACTAATAAGAGAATTGCCGATCGGCTGCCCTCTGCACACCTCCCACTGGGGCATGCACCCTGACCCGGAACCAAACCATGACCTCCTGGTTCACAGGTCAACATTCAACCCCTGAGCCACACAGGCTGGGCCAAGCTGATTTTTTTTTTTTTTTCCCTAAAGAGAGAGAGAAAAATAACACCTTTTTAAGTTCGTGTCAAGGTCAGAAGAAATGGCTGCGAGCAGCTCAGCAGCTCCTTTTCCTTGGGATGCACTGTGTATGCCTCTCCCTCAAGAGCACACTGTGAAATCCCTGGGCAAGCATCTGCTGGGACAGATTTGCAGCCCAGTTCGCTGGGAACCGGAAGGCGTTGTGCCTGCCCCGCTCAGAGCTGGGTTCTGCCTGTCGCCTGGAGCAGGTGAGGGCATCGCTGGCCCTGGAAACAGGTGGCAGCGGCTGTGACCCAGTCCCTGGGGGCTCGCCAAGCGACTCGGGAGTCTGCATCAGCATTCCTGGAGAAAAGGACTGTCCCTCACAGTCACCCCAATGCAGTCTTCCGATTGGAGATTTGAATTTCAGTGTATCGTTTGACTGCTTCTCTGGGAGAAGAAAACCCTACTTTATTTACATCAAAAAGGTTGTTCTGGTTCAAAAGAGATATCCGATGGCATTCCTTTACCTGTGACCCTGGAGAAATGTTTTTTTGTGTTTTGTTTTTTAAAAATATATTTTATTGATTTTTTACAGAGAGGAAGGGAGAAGGATAGAGAGTTAGAAACATCAATGAGAGAGAATCATCGACCAGCTGCCTCCTGCACACCTCCCACTGGGGATGTGCCCGCAACCCAGGTACATGCCCGTGACCGGAACCGAACCCAGGACCCTTCAGCCCGCAGGCTGACTCTCCATCCACTGAGCCAAAACTGTTTCGGCTGGAGAAACGTTTTAAACTTACCGGGTATGGTTAGTTTATCAAAGGGAAGCATTTTGCCTCTGATTTCCTCCTCCTCCTCTTCCTCATCTTCTAATAAAACAAAACACACATCGTGGTCATACTTGTGGGAAGGGGGTAGAGGGGAACGAGACCAAGGACAGAACTTGTGTGCATGTATGCATAACCCAGGGACGCCAATAGGGTGATGAAGGCCTGGGGCAGGGGGCAGGGGAGGAGGCTAGAAGGGGTCAATGGGGATAAAGGGGACCTCTGTAATACTTTCAACAATAAAGATTTTAAAAACATATCGTCGTGTTTGCTACCTATTATTACTATGGGTAGCTCAAAAAAAAAAAAAAAACCTATCTTTTTTTTCTCTTAAAAATCTTTATTGTTCAAAAACGTAGCTAGCAGTCACTCATTTTCACTGAGCGCATTACTCTGAGCGGCAGGCTGGCACCCTGTCTGACCTCAGGGTGGACACTGGAAGCGGGGGGAGTGCGCAGACTCACTGCTGAACAGGTCTTTGGCTTGGTCGTAGGTCTTTGGGAACCCATCCAGGATGTAGCCCTGGTTCCTGCAAGGCATGGACCTCAGCTTCTCTTTTACAAACCGGATTACGTATTGATCTTCCAGTCGGCCTAAGGAAAAGAAAAGAAAAGAAAAGAAAAAAAACACACATCCATGACCGTGGGGCCACCTTCTGCCTCGGGGTCACACGCTGCCGTCCCCTGAGAAATGCTCGTGCAGCCCCTGCTTTTTCCATTCGAGTGGAAAACAGGTGGTTTTGGGTTTCGGACACGGCACGTGAATTGCAACGCGCAGTTCAGCAGGAGCACCCGCTGGGCCTGCTGCCCAGAAAGAACAGAGGCAAATGCGGATGCCGGCGTTTCCAGAATGTTCCTGCGCCACAGCCCCTGGGTGTGGAAGGACATGACGTGAGTGGGGAAATCCAGGGCGCTCCCATGTACCAGGAGGGTTTGCTCAGCTCTCTTCGGACAGCATGCCTTGGCAGCCTCATACAGACTGGTACATGCGTCTGTTGCATGAGTTGACATGGTACTCATGTGTGTTATTAGCACGTGACTTATTGCTACTCGGTGCCCAATAAACAGCTGCTGCATCTGAATAAAAACCAAGGTTGAGCGGAGCCTCAAAGGCACCCTTCTCTTCATATATATATATATATATATATATATATATATATAATTGATTTTTTACAGAGAGGAAGGAAGAGAGGTAGAGAGTTAGAAACATCGATGAGAGAGAAAATTCAATTAGCTGCCTTCTGAACACCCCCTACTGGGGATGTGCCCGCACTCAAGGTGCATGCCCTTGACCAGAACCCTTGACCAGAATCGAACCTGGGACCTTTCAGTCCACAGGCCTATGCTTTATCCACTGAGCCAAACCGGTTTTGTTGGCACCCTTCATTCTCTTTTTTTTTAAATATATATTTTATTGATTTTTTTTTTTTTCCAGAGAGGAAGACAGAGGGATAGAGAGTTAGAAACATGGATGAGAGAGAAACATCGATCAGCTGCCTCTTGCACAACCCCTACTGGGGATGTGCTTGCAACCAAGGTACATGCCCTTGACTGGAATCGAACCTGGGACCTTTCAGTCCGCAGGCCGATGCTCTATCCACTGAGCCAAACCGGTTTAGGCAAGCACCCTTCTCTTTTAAGCCGGCGTGGCTCAGTGGTTGAGCTTTGACCTGTGAATTGAGATTAGACCTGTGGTTGAGATTCAGACCTGTGAACCAGGAGGTCATGGTTTGATTCCCTGTCGGGGCACAAGCCTGGGTTGTGGGCTCAATCCCCGATAGGGGGCGTGCAGGAGGCAGCCCATCAGTGATTCTCTCTCATCATTTCTAACTCTCTCCTTCTCCCTTCCTCTCTGAAATCAATACAAATATCTTCTTACCCCCAACACTTAAAATATATAACGTGAGCCAAAGCAGTCTAACTGGCCCGCCGGAGATTTGAGCATGTCCCTGTCCTGGCTGCACTGTCGGGGCGGATGGGGGTGGAATTATGTGTGAACAGGTCGTGGAGGTGCCTCACGGCGGGGTTGCACCATCTGTCTTGCTAGAATCATTAGAATCATATAGTCACAAATGGGATCATGTTAGGGACACACATGCTCACCTGTGTGCCCCCAGGCTGCAAAATATCTGTGTGGGCCTGTGCAGTGTGCTCCAAGGTCTTGTTTTGTTCAAACAGAATCAAGGCCCACGTTCTAGTTTCCGATAAATACGACGAGGAAGGATTCTTGGACGAACTAGAGGGACTGAGGAAATCTCCAATCTTGCAGGACGTGGGTGGGTGGCCGGGGAGAGGAGGGAGGGGAAGGGAACGCTTGCTGTTCCACAGGCTTTCCCTCCCGCAGAGGACAGACGCGCCCTCTGGCCTCTCCCAGGGCCCCTCCAGACGGAGGCTGCTGAGCCACACTGGCCTCTGGCATCCGGGAGGAACAGTCTCAGGCCAAGGCCAAGGCCAAGGCCAGGCCCTTCTTGAGCTCGGGCAATGCAGGGGCCGTTCTGAACATGGCGCTGTCTCTGCTGTCATTCTTCACGCGGTCACCTCCCGGGCAGGGAGAGGGCCCAGCTGGTGCGTCACACCGTGTGTCACAGGAAGTCCCGGACCGGCCTGCAGGCCCCTGCGGACATCTGTGACCTAAGGCCCTGGCTGCGAACACTGCGCAGGCCTGGTCTGCTCGGTGAGCTTGAACCCCAGCTTGAACACTGGCGGTTCTGGCCTCTCTCCTGGGGGCGGCATTGGTCACCAGTCCCGGCGTTCTCTTTCTGTCCTTACACCTCGGGCTTTGAGTGTGTGCACACATGGCCACGTACACCCGTGGATTCCTAAACATCCAGGCCTCCCACCCTTCACTTTTTTACATTTTTTAGAAAAATTTTATGAGTTTATCTGAGCCAAACGGATGCCATGTCAGGAAGCAAGATCTCAAATGCTCCCCCTGTAACACGGCCCAGTCCGGCTTCCTTCCACGGGGGCCCCCACCATAGGGTACCTTCTCTGGGGTGTCGTCCTCTCCTCAGAATGTCCAGGCTGCCACCAGACTCTAAACCGGGAGAGGGACTCCCAGCGTGTCTAGGGGAGGCAGAAGCTGTGTTGCATCTCAGAGGATTTGTGACTTCTGCACACCTTCCTTTTCCTCGGAGAAATCTCTCTAAATTCCTTCCCCCTCCCCCAGCCCAGCCCACACCAGAGCGGAAACCAAGACTGAGATATCAGCTGGCTTAAGTGGACACTCAGTGTTTGCTAATAGCACCGTTTTCTCCACTCTGAAAGCCAGATTGGCGTGGCCTGGGGAAGGCGGGGGAGGGGGGGAATGGGGGGGACGAGAAGGAGGTGGGAGGGCGTGGAGGGACAGCGGCTGAAGATGAGGAAGAGGCCGCCTGGAGGACATGAGGGTGGAGGCCGGAAGACCAGAGGTGGGAGGGCTTCAGGAGCAGGGCCTCAGGGGAAGGCAGGGGACGTCCTCTGTGGCCCACGGAAGCACAATACCAGGAAGGAGCAGCAAGCGCCCAGCGACCTGTCACCCGGGCCAGTTTTCACATGTCCTTCCCTAACTCCGCCCTGGAGGGTCAGAAACAGCCCCGGCAAGATGGGAGAAGTAAACAGAAAAGTAACCACATGTGCTTGCTAAGACTGCCAGGGAGAGACTCCCCACTGTAGAGTCCACACGGCTGGCCTGGCCTGTAGATGACACTAACACGACCAGTTTGATGGGAGAACCCAACTGTCTAGGTCCGTGGTCAGCAAACTGCGGCTCGAGAGCCACATGCTGCTCTTTGGCCCCTTGAGTGTGGCTCTTCCACAAAATGCCACGGCCTGGTTGACTCTGTTTTGAAGAAGTGGCATTAGAAGAAGTTTAAGTTTAAAAAATGTGGCTCTCAGCGGCTGCCAGCTGGGAACGGCCAGGCCCGGGGGAGCAGCCGGGTCGGGTGCGGCCAGGCCCGGAGCAGCGGCTGCCAGGCTGGGAGCGGCCAGGCCCAGAGCAGCAGCAGCCAAGTCCAGAGCAAATAGGTCGGGAGCGGCAGTGACCAGACCCGGAGGAGCTGGTTGTGGAACGAACCAGAGCAACAGAGGCCAGGCCCTGAGCAGCCAGGCCCGGAACAGCTCACTCCTCGCCTGCCCCTGCCCCACGGCTGCCTCTCAGACATGGCTGGAAACTTTCGTGGGAACTTGAGGGTCTGCTGAATCAAGTGATGAAGGCTTAGATCTGGATGTGTGGAGTTAGTATAGGGCTGGGGTGTTGATCTGTGAGTGCCTTGGATGGGGCCTGGATGAGGCTGGTGGACCTAATGTCTTTTGTGTGAAGTGTATCATTGGGCATGTAGAGGTATTATTGATTTGAGAAAATGCTAAGTAACTGATTTACTATCTGAAAAGGGATTTACTATTGGGGAAAGGAAGGGAAGAAGAGACTGAACATAAACTGTGCACCTATGGATGAGGACAATGGGGGATGGGAGGGGGCGGAGGGTGGGGTGGGAACCTGGTGGATGGGGGAAGAAATGAGGAACCTTTGTAATAATATGAACAATAAAGATTGATTAAAAAATAAATAAAATAAAATGAACCCCCCCCCCAAAAAATAAAATAAAATAAAAATAAATAGATAAAAAATGTGGCTCTCAAAAGAAATTTCATTCATTGTACTGTTGATATTTGGCTCGGTTGACTAATGAGTTTGCCGACCACTGGCCTAGGTATAAAAATGAAATGGTGCTGTTGTGTTTGTTTTAACCCTCACCTGAGGATATCTTTCTCACTTATTTTTTTAGAAAAAGGGGAAGGGAGAGAGGGGAAGAGAAGAGAAAGAGAAACCATCCACCTGAGAGAGACACATTGATTGGCAGCCTCCTGCATGGGTCCCAGTAGGGGCCAGGATGACCCTGCGATGGAGGGACGTGCCCTTGGCCGGAAATTGAACCCGAGACCCTGCAGTCTGTGGGCTGATGACTGAACCAGCCAGGGAAAAATGGTTTTATTTTTCTTTCTTCCTTTTTTTTTTTTTTTTTTTTTAAATATATATATATTTTTTACTGAATTTCTACAGAGAGGAAGGGAGAGGGATAGAGAGTTAGAAACATCCATCAGCTGCCTCCTGCACCTCTCCCCCCACCCCCACTGGAGATGTGCCCACAACCCAGGTACCTGCCCTTGACCGGAATCGAACCTGGGACCCTTCAGTCCACAGGCCAACGCTCTATCCACTGAGCCACACTGTTCAGGGCCCACCATTGTTCTTGTGCAGCTGGAAGTGCCTGAAATGACACCCTTGGGAGGGGAGTAACTCTGGAGAGAGCAAGTAACCTTGTCAGCTCTCCTGTAACCCAGTCCCTGCCTCGCTTCCTCCCTTCTCCACAGAACCTCCCGACCCTCTCCTTCATCTCAAACGGAGAACCGCTGCCCACTGCGGTCTCCGGAGCACGTGAGGTCTTGTTCCTCGGCATATGGGCTCATGAGAGTTCGGCTCAGACTCATAAAAATGCTCCACAGGTCTGGAAGTTTCCTAAGTCCAATCATGAGTAGGAATATTTTTCCCATTGATTTGTGTTCCTTCCTGCATTAACTATGGGTCCACCTTGTTCATCAATTTTCTTCTAATAAGGATTTAATGATTTTCTTACTAGTTTGCCTGAGTATTTTATTTTATGTTTTTATTTTTTTAAATACAATTTTCTTGATTTTTGAGAGGAAGAGAGTGGGGGAGAGATAGAAACATCAATGATGAGAGAGAACCATTGATGGGCTGCCTCCTGCACACCCCACACTGTGGGGACCGAGCCCACAACCCAGGCACATGCCCTGACCGGGAATCAACTATGATCTCCCGGTTCATAGATCAATGCTCCACCACTGAGCCATGCTGGCTGGGCTGCCTGAGTATTTTAAATATTAAAGATTATATTCCAGTCAAGGGTACATACCCGGCTTGTGGGTTCAATCCCCAGTAGAGGGCGTGTAAGAAACATTGATGGGAGTGTAAGAGAATCAGTGATGATTCTCTCTCATCATTGATGTTTCTATCTTTCCCTCTCCCTTCCTCTCTGAAAACAATACAAATATATTTTTTAAAAATCATTAACTCTGTCATATTGGTGGCAAGTATCTTTTTTCCTGGTTTGTTTTTTGCCCTTTAATTCATTATTTTCAGTGCTTATAAAAGATTTATGACTATACATTTCATTTTTTAAAAACATAGATAGTTCTTTCCCATCTTATTTTTAAAAAATATTTTTATTGATTTTTAGCAAGAGAGGAAGGGAGAGGGAGAAAGAGAAACATTGGTGTGAGGGTAGCACATTGATCAGCTGCCTTCTGCATGCCCCCAGCTGGGGATAGAGCCTGCCAGCTGGGCATGTGCCCTGATCGGGAAGGCTTTCTATGCACAGGACCACAGCCAACCACTGAGCCACACAGCCAGGGCCCTTCCCGTCTCACGATCAATCACCAGAATATCCATGGTGACTTTTCCCCCCTCGGAGGGGAGATTATAAATGAAATTTCTTTGTGGTTCTTATGATTTCTATACTTAACTTATAATAACAAACACATAGTCTTCTATAACAAAGAAGGGGAATTGGAAGGACTCCCAGACCAAATTAGAAAAACAAATAAATTAAAACATAAAAACGCTGTGCTGTTCACTTGGAGGAAAGGCGAACACCAAAGCCCCGCCCCACGTCCGCGGCCGGGGCCCGTGTGGGCGGCTACCTGCGTTCTGCTCCATGCTCTCCTTGATGCCGTCCAGCAGCTCCTGTGCGTCCTCCACGTTCTCCTCCTCCTCCTCTTCTTCCTCCTCCTCTTCTTCCCCTCCTTCCGTTCCGTACTTGGGGGCCACGATGGTCTCCTGCACACCATAGGGTCCTCCGTTGGCCGGTGCCCTGCCCTGGTTTGCTACTCACTACTCACCTGCCACGGGGGGCGGGGTGCTGGGAGGAGGGCACGGGAAATCTCTGAACCTCCCTCTCCGTTTTGCTACAAACCTACAGCTGCACAAGGAAGTAAAGCCTTCCTTTAAAAACGCGTTCAGTGAATAAGCTGATAATGCCCTGAGAAACATACATCAAGAATAAAATAGCCCTAACCGGTGTGGCTCAGTGGATAGAGCATCGGCCTGCGGACTCAAGGGTCCCGGGTTTGATTCTGGTCAAGGGCATGTGTCTTGGTTGTGGGCATATCCCCGGTAGGGGGTGTGCAAGAGGCAACTGGTCGATGTTTCTCTCTCATCGATGTTTCTGGTTCTCTATCTCTCTCCCTTCCTCTCTGTAAAAAATCAATAAAATATATTTAAAAAAAAAAAAAAAGAATAAAAGAAAATAGCCCTAACCGGTGTGGCTCAGTGGATAGAGCACCGGCCTGCGGACTCAAGGGTCCCGGGTTTGATTCTGGTCAAGGGCACGTGTCTTGGTTGTGGGCACATCCCCGGTAGGAGGTGTGCAGGAGGCAGCTGATTGATGTTTCTCACTCATTAATGTTTCTCTCTCTCTCCCTCTTCCTTCTTCTCTGTAAAAAATCAATAAAATATATTTAAAAATTAAAGAAAATAAAAAACTTAAAAAGATGTCACAACCCATGTGCCCTGCGAAGGAGGACTGGGTAAAGGAGAGGCCCTGCGTGCCCGCCCGCGGTGGAATAGGACTCAGCCGTGGGAAAGGGTGGCATCATGGATGGACCCCGAGAGCGGTGTGCGGAGAGAAATAAGTCAGAAACGGCTGGGAACGCTAGGACTTTGCTCCTGTGGGACACAAAGGGAAACTGGAGAACACAGACAGCAGTGCAGTGGTTGGCCGAGGGAAGGGGTGGGGGAGGAGGGTCCTAACATACCGTGACGGGAGAAGATGTGAGTTTGGGGGTGGGCACAGGGCACAGGGCACAGCTCTTGCTGTTGTTTTTCTATTGATTTTTTTTTTTTCCAGAGAGGAAGGGAGAGAGATAGAGAGTTAGAAACATCCATGAGAGAGAATCATCAATCAGCTGCCTCCTGTACACCCCCTACTGGGGATGTGACTGCAACCAATGTACATGCCCTTGGCCGGAATCGAACCTGGGACCCTTCAGTCTGCAGGACTACGCTCTATTCACTGAGCCGAACCGTCCAGGGCTTGGCACAGCTCTTGTAACATAGAAACCCACACCTTGCCCTAACCGGTTGACCGATATCACCCAAATCATGTTATAAGTAAGTAAATAAATAAATAAAGTTCCCTCTCAACAGGGAGAATGGAAGATGTACTCTGGGCAGCAGCTGGCGACAGACTAAGCCCCCGGGCCACCCCTGGGAGCGGCTTCTGTCTCCGGGAGCAGAGCCCGTGGGCCTCGGAGTGTTCACGGCGGGGCCAGCGACAGCCGCCCGCGAAGGCAACAGCCCCCTGTGCAGGGCGCCATGCACCTCCGGGGCCTCTGTTAGCTCACGGCTAAGGACAGCACTTTCTAGATCAGGGCAATCCCCCGGAAGGCCGTGAAAAGCGGTACCAGAACAACACAGACTGATGAACAAGAACAGACCCAGAGACAAGGAGCCATGGGTCAGACTGTTGGACCTCAGAGGGAGGGTGGGGGTAAGGGGGAGAGATCAACCGAAGGACTTGTGTGCACACATATGAGCCTAACCAGTGGTCGAGGACAATAGGGGGGTGGGGGCATGAGTGGGGAAGGGTGGGGGATTGGAATGGGGGGTTGAGGACAAATATGTGATACCTTAATCAATCAATCAATCAATCAATCAATCAATAAAGCAGTACCAGCTTCGCGATGGCTTCGGAGATGACGTCCTTGAGCTTGATGTGGTGGATCTTGTAGTACCTGGCCAGCACTTCCGAAACGCTGGACTTGCCCACGCCGGGGGGGCCGAGGATGCACACCTTGATGGGCTGGGAGAGGAAGTGAGGGTCACTACCCAGCTGGGAGTGGCCGGCAGCTCCAGGGCCCCACCAGGGGGGCTTCAGAGACTCGGACCCTGGGAGGCTAGCCCTCCGGTCCTTTTCTCCACGTGTGCAGTGACCATGACCAGGTGTGGGGGGGCGGGGGAGAAGGCGATGCTCCTGGTACAGGTGCAGGAAGAGGCCCAGATACTGAGAGAGAAAGCGCACCCGCCATGGATTCACAGCTTCCGCCGTGGAGACAACAGAGACACGGGCGAGTTTCTGCTCTCGGGTACACAGTGCCCGCTTCATTGCCTCGTGAGAATTGTGTCTGACCTGAACTTGGTCTTTAATGATACGTTCCTTTTTCACACACACAATTTGCTCTAGCTTTAAGCCCGCCCACTCATTGCTTGATCCTCAACCTCTGAATCAGGGGGTCACGGTTCGATTCCCAGTCAGGGCACATGCCTGGGTTGTGGGCTCCATCCCAGTAAGGGAGAGAGGGTAGGGGGGCGAGGGGGAGGGCAGGAGGCAACCAATCAATGTGTCTCTCTCACATCGATGTTTCTCTGTCTTTGTTTCTCCCCCTCCCTTCAACTCTCTCTAAAAAACAATGGGGAAATATCCTCAGATGAGGATTAACACCACCCACCCCAAAAAAAAACATTTTTTTCATGTGCTGCCATGAAATAAACGTAAAGATCTGGACAAGTGCTGCTCAGAGAGGGCGGATGGTCCGTAGGCCGTTCCAGCTGAGCTCACGGCCCAGCTCAGATGAATCCCTAACTAGCCATGTGACCTTGAAGAAGTCTCTCGGAGCCCTGGTTTTCACCTCTATACTATGGAGATAAGGATATCTTCCTTGCTGAAACCGGTTTGGCTCAGTGGATAGAGCGTTGGCCTTCAGACTGAAAGGTCCCAGGTTCAATTCCGGTCAAGGGCATGTACCTTGGTTTCGGGCACATCCCCAGGAAGCAATTGGGCAAGAGGCAGCTGATTGATGTTTCTTTCTCATCGAAGTTTCTAACTCTTTCTCCCTCTCCCTTTCCTCTCTGTAAAAAATCAAAAATATATATATTTATATTTTTAAAAAGAATATCTTCCTTCAACAGTTGTGGTGATGAAAATGACCAGCCCATCTCCTGGCCAATAGGATGGAAGTGAGAATCAGCCTTCCTCCTCCTCCCTCTCCTCCCTGCTCCCATATATACATCTGGGACTGAAGCAGGCCTCACAGTAAGACTCTGATTTTCTGTTCCTCACGTAGACCACCCTGTGACAGTCAGTCTCAAAATCACTATCATGTTCCATGTGTGTCAAGCATAACAGTCATCACCTATGTCAACTGTGAAACGGTTACTGTCCCGCGGACAAGACTGAGATAATGCACATGCAAGTGCTAAGACCTAGTCCAGGGGGTCAGCCCTGGAGAAGAATCGGGCGTGAGAAGCTTGGGCCCGGGAGAGAGGACGGGCCGGCCGCCGGGGCTGCGGGGCCGCGGGGACATGGGGGGGGGGGGCGGGAACACGGGGGGGGGGGGGGCCGCGGGGACACGGGGGTGGAGGGGGGGGCGGCACGGCGGCGGCTACCAGCAGCCCGCGGCTCTGCTTGTACTCGCGCAGCACGCTGCCGATGTTCTCCACCAGCCCGGCCTGGGACACCCAGCGGATGTTGAAGTTCTCCTTCACAAAGAGCGCCTCCATGCGCAGGTTGACCAGCAGGTGGTCGATGCTGTCTTGCTGGGAGAGAAAGGCGCGTTAAGAGGTTTGTCTCTTTCTTTTTAAAAAAATAGATTTTATTGGTTTTTTACAGAGAGGAAGAGAGAGGGATAGAGAGTTAGAAACATTTATGAGAGAGAGTCATCGATCAGCTGCCTCCAGCACACCCCCCCTCCCCCCGCTGGGGATGTGCCCCAAGCAAGGTACATGCCCTTTGACCAAAATCGAACCCAGGACCTTTCAATCCGCAGGCCGATACTCTATCCACTGAGCCAAACCGGTTTTGGCTGCTTCAGATGTCTTTTATTTATTTATTTTTTAATATATGTTATTGATTTTTTACAGAGAGGAAGGGAGAGAGATAGAGAGTTAGAAACATCGATGAGAGAGAATCATCGATCAGCTGCCTCCTGCACAACCCCTACTAGGGATGTGCCCACAACCAAAGTACATGCCCTTGACCGGAATCGAACCTGGGACCCTTCAGTCCGCAGGCCGACGCTCTATCCACTGAGCCATACTGGTTTCGGCGGTTTGTCTCTGTCTATGGATGGCTCTGACAGGCCCACATTTATTATCATTAGAGCAAATGATGTACCCCAGCACTCAGGACAGCCCGCCCCGCCGCGCTGAGAGTGGACGGAGGAGCGCCCGCCTGCGTGCTCCTGACCGGCGGCCGCCTGTCCTTACACGAGCAGCTCCGATAGGAAGATACTGGAAGCGCCAGCATCAAGTTTCTCCTTAAGAATGTTCAACTGCATCTCCTTTTGAGCAGTGCAATTCCATGGTTCAAAACCCCCTGAGCACAGCCCGGCCGGTGTGGCTCAGTGGTTGAGCATCCACCTGTGAACCAGGAGGTCACGGTTGGATTCCCAGTCAGGGCACACACCCAGGTTGGCGGCTCCATCTCCAGAATAGGGCACGCAGGAGGCAGCTGGTTGATGATTCCCTCTCATTATTTCTCTCTCTCTCTCCCTCCCTCCCTCTCTCCTTTCCTCTCTGAGGTCAATAAAAATACGTTTTTAAAAATCCCCAAAAACAAAAGCCGAGGGAAATGGCCCCTTGGGCGCCGAGGCCACCCACCCACCCACCTCTGCTCCCCCAGTGATGCCAGCGCTTCCAGAAACATCCTCAAAGGCAGTTCTGACCCATTCGTTCCTAAAAGGTTACGTCCTAAGCTGCATCCGAAGAGCACACTGTTTCCCGTGGGGGTGGGATCGGAATAGCCGCCTCTCGTGAGGTTTAGAAAGAGGCCAGAGAGCCGGGACCAGTGTGGCTCAGTGGATAGAGCATCGGCCTGCGGACTGAAAGGTCCCAGGTTCGATTCCGGTCAAGGGCACGTACCTTGGTTGTGGGCACATCTCCAGTAGGGGGTGTGCAAGAGGCAACTGATTGATGATTCTCTCTCATCGATGTTTCTAACTCTATCTCTCTCTTCCTCTCTGTGAAAAATTAATAAAATATATTAAAAAAAAAAAAAAAAAGAAAGAAAGAGGCCAGAGAGGATGCCACCCAGTGCCAACACCACTGTTCCTGGCGAACATTTACGGCCACAGGCCTCAGAGAGATCAAGATAGAATACAGGCTCGAGAGGGGAGGGGAGGGGAGGGGAGGGGAGGGGAGGGGAGGGGAGGGGAGGGGAGGGGAGGGGAGGGGAGGGGAGGGGAGGGCAGGGCAGCAGGGTAGGGGAGGATCGGAGAGCATTGTTTTAGGCTGACAATCGGCTGCCCAAAGGGAGGAGCTGGCAGCCAGACCCCAAACCCCTGAGGCCCGGCCGCCCAGGAAAGGGGAAAGAGCCCAGGAAAGGGGAAAGAGCCCAGGAAAGGGGAAAGAGGGCCCAGGAAAGGGGAAAGAGCCCAGGAAAGGGGAAAGAGGGCCCAGGAAAGGGGAAAGAGGGCCTCAGGCACTGACCGGCAGGTCCTTGGTGAGGAAAGCGTTTTCTCTGAGCACTTTCTGGGTTTTCCCGGGGCCGGTGTTCCTGCTGATGCACTGTGGGGGGGGGACGTGTTATGTGGTTTAGCCGCCGGTGGTGATACAAACGTCCTCAGAGGAAGGCAGAGGTAACTGAATGTCCATAAAAAACACTGCACAACAGAGGGGAGTGCACAGAAGGCGCCCTGAGGCGGCACAGAGGCACCGTTCCTGGGCTCCACCGTCCCGCAGCCTGGGCATGGAGAAGAGAGCGGGACGGCCCGGCTCCTGCCCTCAGGCAGCTCCCGTCTGAAAAGGCGGGCAGACCTGTGTGCACAGATGTGCACTGTCTGCAGCTGGCGAAGGGGGTGCTGGGGGAACAGCTGGCCTGAGCGGGAGGCAGGGAGGAGGTGGGGAGAGTGCAGGGGGGTGGGGAGGTCTCTGAGCCGGATGTGGAAGGTGGGGGGCGGGGTGAGCAGGCCGGCATGGCTCCCAGGCGCCCGGTGGCTTTGGCTGGGGCGGCTGGGACTAGGGAGGGGGCTCCACGGACCCAGAGCTCCACGAAGCAGCTGGGAGGTTCGGAGGACGTGGCCTTCAATACATTGCGGCTCCGTGGCTCGGTGGCTCAGTGGTTGAACCAGCAGGTCACAGTTTGATTCCCGGTCAGGGCACAGGCCCGGGTTGTGGGCTTCATCCCCCGTGTGGGACATGCAGGAGGCAGCCAATCCATGATTCTCTCTCATCATTGGTGTTTCTATCTCTCTCTCTCTCCCTTCCTGAGATCAATAAAAAAAATACACTGTTTAAAAATACACTGATGAGGCAGGTGTGTGTCCGTGTCCTCGTGAGTGGTTGTGTGTGTCCAGCCCACCGCGGCCTTCCCTGTGGCCCTCACACAGCTCCTGGAGGAAGGCCACTGGCCGTGTCTCCCCAGCACCTGGCCTGCAGGGCAGGCGGGGGCTGGGTTTTAGGGGTGCTCTACACGAGGAGGCCCGGGCCTCGTTAGCACACCTATTCCCGTGACTACACTCAGGGTTAAGGTGGATTAGGAAATGCCGGGCAGGAAGCCCCCCATCGCCTTCACCAGCAGAGAGGTGAGGAATGAGAAGGCAGGGCGGGTGAGGATGAGCTCCCGACTCCGCCCCGCAGGGCGGAGTTATCCCTACCCTCACCGAACCAATCAGTGTTAGCCGAGGCAGTGACATCACCATCGACCAGAGTAAAAAACCCCTGGACTGGAAGAAATTCGCTCTCTTCCGCCATGCTGCCGGCGTGAGTGGGGGAGGCCCATGCTAGCATGGTAACGGCTCTTTTGTTTATTGCATCGGACTCGGCTCCCTGGTGGTCCTTGGGGATCACGAAGTCTGGGCGTAACAAGGACCAGGAACCCGGAAGGCTGGTGGCCCATGAGCTCTGGGAGGGTCAGGGCTGTCACCCTCTGCTTAGTTGAGACGCTGGTCGCTGAAGCAACTTCCCCACCGGACAGTCAGGTAAACCCTTACTGACAAGACGGTCTGCCTGCTACTGGAGATTGCCTGCCTGAGGGCTACAGGTACATCCCAAACTGAATGAAAGGACGGGGAGGCCTGAGCCCAGGCAGGGTCCTTCCTCTTGAGCTGGGCTCCCGCCTGGCCCCCCAATATTTCCAAATTATTATTTCTTGTCTCGTCTCTTCCATTTGCATGGGGCCTCTTCTCCAGATCCCGAACCCTGAACCCTGAACCCTGGGAGACGTGGGAAATCACGTGCCATTGATCGGGGGACCCGGGGCCATACATACCTTGACTAAATCCTCCAGGGTCTGGACGGAGTCATCCACGGCGACCAGGTACCGGACCTTGGGCACGTGGTCTATCACGTTCTGGATCACGCTGCGGAGCGCCAGGGCGGGGAGGGCCGTCCCGGGGGAGAGAAGCCAAGAGACACGGTCAACAGGCTGGCAGGGCTCCTGCTGAGGATATAGAACATCCCTTCCCATCGTTAGAAACAATAATGGAACCAGCTGAAACCCTGCCGGACAGAGGGGCGCACTCCGCCCTCCATGCCCAGGTGAACGCTGGCTGCAGTGGGTGAGGAGCTGTCAGGAGTAGAAGCTTATAGGATTCAGGGGATGCCCCTTTTAGAAAAATAACACAGCTTAAGATTAGGGGTGATGGGGGCCATGGGGAGATAAGGACACATACGTAATACCTTAATCAATGAACCAATCAATCAATTAAAAAGACCAGGGCTTTGGAGGAGACCTGTGCAGGGAGGGGTCCTAAAGCTTCATTTTCCCCCAGTAAATCTGGGGTTGGGACTGTTATAATAATGTCACCCCTCTAATTATTGTGTGAAATGTTTGCTGTGTGGAAACCCCAATACTCTGTGACTTCCAACATTAATGGACACCCCACTATCTTGATGTGAAACTCTGAGCCCTCAAAGCGTAAACTCCCTGCTCCTGGCATAAGGCACACCATCTGGCCCATATTGATAAGGACACAGTTGTTTACGGCGGTCCATATAACCCGGGACCAGCTCCAGCTGAGGTCTCCCGCCCCATAAGAGGAGGACTCCACGTCGCTCCGGGAGACCAGCCCCTGACTGCTCTGCTGTGCGAGCCTGAACCCTGCGGCCGCCTGCCTGTCTCTGTTTTCATCGTCCGTCCTGCGGTGTGCATGGCCGGGTGGCCTTTGCCGGAGCCCGGGACCCACTGTGAGCGGGTAACTACACCCTGTGTGATCGCAGACTCGTTCTGTCTGTGGGTCATGTGTCCCGGCTCAGCTCAGCTGTCTAGACATGGAAGCACCAGGGGATAGGCCGTTACTGCTGACTCCTGGTCACCTGCGTTTGTCCCACTAAGTCTAGACAGGTAATCAATTAACTGGTGCTTAATTGGGACAGGGACCAATTCACTAGTGGCCGGTGGATGAGAGTGAGAAGGCAATCTGGAAGCCAGACCTCAGGGAAGTGCAGTAGCTGTGTCTTCCATGGGGAAGTGGTGGTGGTGGGGAGAGGGGAGGTGGCAGAATCAAGCCCATGGATCCCAACATGTAGATCTGAGGAACCACGAATAAAGGGAGCCATCTCTGGCCCGTGTCTAAGTCAGGTCTGCAAAGCTGGAGAGGGCCTCGGGGCCTGTCTGACCATAGAGTTGGGAAACTCTACGAGCGTGAAAAACATGTTAAGCACGGCCTGTGTGGCTCCGTGGTGGAGCACCGACCTATGGACCAGGAGGTCATGGCTCGATGTGTGGTCAGGGCAAACGCCCAGGTTTCGGGCTTAATCCCCAGTGGGGGGCGTGCAGGAGGCAGCCAATCAAGGATTCTCTGTCATCATTGATGTTTCTTTCTCTCCCCCTTCCCCTTTAAAATCAATAAAAAAAATAATATATATATTGCCCTGACTGGTTTGGCTCAGTGGATAGAGCGTTGGCCTGTGGACTGACGGGTCCCAGGTTCGATTCCAGTCAAGGGTATGTACCTTGGTTGCGGGCACATCCCCAGTAGGGGATGTGCAAGAGGCATCTGATCGATGTTTCTCTCTCATCGATGTTTCTCTCTATTCCTCTCCCTTCCTCTCTGTAAAAAAGTCAATAAAATGTATATTTAAAAATATATATATATATTAAAAAAAAAACATGCACCCCCCCCCCCCCCATTTTACCTGCAGTTGCCCAAACCAACCACCTCCGCTTTAGCTTTGCTACCTGACTCCTGGCATGGAACCGGTGGGCGGGGCCTCTCGCCTGGCACAGAAGCAGGAGGAGCGAGGCCCCCAGAATGCCCATGCCCCGTCCTTCCTTTCCAGAGAGGCTCACCCTGCCGACTGGGCGGTGAAAGGGTGAGCCTGAGCTTGCGGGGAGCTGGGGCTTTAGGAGGCGGACACCGTGTCCTCAGATGCGCACGGCGATGATAACAGAACCTCCCGCGTCGGTGGCGTTGGTGTGAAGAACAGACACCGCGATCCGTGGCAGGGTCTCAGCCCTCGGTGAGCGCTCCACAAACGGGCACACACGCCAGCACGTCCGTCCGTCCGTGCATTCGGGGGCAGTGGAGACCCCAGGGGCAAATACTCACCCGGCTAGATCAAGCACGTGAATTGCTGGGATTATATTGGTTCCATCTCCAAACACGGGCAATGCAGGGACCTCGCCCAACCAAGCCATCTGGAAGGAAGACAAGCAGAATGTTGTCTACGATCTATTTCTGATAGTCCTCCCTTCCCCCAACTGATAGACAGAGAATGACATAAACTCCCCCTGCAGTCCGAACATTCCTGAGCTCCTCACCAGGCACCTTATATGGACTGTACCTTGAACCACCAATCAGCACCTGCCAAATACCCTCAGCCCCCGATTCCTAAGTGCCTAATCAGGTGCCTAGTCATGTGCCTTATGTAAAACCACCAATCAGCGTGGGCCTAGTCCCCTAAGCCCCGTCCCTTTTTCCCTTTCCTCCCCTCAAAAGGCGCCTTCACCCCTGTACACTCTCTATCTCTCCTCTGGAAGGCAGCCCGGCCAGGGTCTTCTCCTCCAATAAAGCCTGTGTCCTGGCCCCTCTGTCTCATCTTCCGGCACGTGGTGTGACGTGGCGATGGCAGCTCACCCACGCCCCAGCCAGAGGCCCCGAGGGACTGCCTGCCTGATGCCGTGGCCCTCAGAGGGAGCCTCAGGGAGAGGTTTGGCCGATCAGTTCCCATGGGATTGATCAAATCCCATTTAAGAGAAATAAGTGCAACTGCTGAGCTGAAATGCTTCTCAAAACACCTACAATCCCATCAGCCGTCTTTAAGAGTCACCGGCGTGTGGTCTGCGTGCAGAGGAAGGCCTACCGAGCACTGTGCTTCCGACAGAAGGCGGTCCGCTCCGCTCTTCACTGCCCTGAGGGCGTGGCCACAGGGCCAATATGGGAAAGAAAAGCCGGTGGCTGGGAGGGGACAGGAGTGGGGAGGGGATAGGGGGTTGGAATGGGGGGTTGAGGACAAATATGTGATACCCTAATCAATAAAGAAGTTAAAAAAGAAAAGCAGGTGGCTGTGGTCGGCACCCTTATGTCCCCGGGGCTCTCTGCTACTAGCCTGGCGTAGCCACGCCCAGGAGCCATCAGAAGTATCTTCCAAGTATCAGAAGTATCTTTAAATTATCAGAAGTATCTTTAAATATTCTCTGAGGAATATTTAAAATCCTCAGAGTCACTGAAAAGTCATACCTTGAAAAAGAAATGTAAGATGCCTCCTTCCAGTCCATACTGAAGTCCGGAAGCAATTACGTAAGTCGCGAATTTTTTGATCTAGGAGGCAAAACACAGGGGAAAGGTGATGCTATCAAAGCCGTGGATTGCTTCTGTGGTTAGCAATGAGCTGCTATGCCTCCTGGAGGCCACGGGAGCTCAGTGTAAGATGGAAATTGTGTCCTCCAAAGGGGACAATGGGCCCTGGCTGATGTGGACCTGTTGGTTGGGCATCGTCCAATGCACCAAAAGGTTGCTTGTTCGATTCCCCATCGGGGCACATACCCAGAATGTGGGTTCAATCCCTGGTTGGGGTGCATTCGGGAGGCCACTGATTGATCTTTATCACATCGAGGTTTTTCTCTCTCTCTCCCTCTCCCTCCCTCCTTCCTGCCCTTCCTTCCCCTCCCTTATTCTAAAAATCAATTAAAAAAAAAACAAAAAACACCTTATGTCAGAGGGAAGAAACAAAAAAGCATGTCAAATCCAAGATTTCGGAAGGAATTCCGAAGGCCTTGTACTTCTCAGGGGTTTGTCTTTCAAATTTAAATTACCTGCTTAATCCAGATCCCAGAGCCAATCAAGAGCCAGGACATTGCTGAAACCAGTTTGGCTCAGTGGATAGAGCATCAGCCTAGGGACTGAAAGGTCCAGGGTTTCGATTCCAGTCAGGGGCATGTACCTTGGCTGCGGGCACATCCCCAGTAGGGGGCGTGCAAGAGGCAGCTGATTGATGATTCTCTCTCATCGATGTTTCTAACTCTCTATCCCTCTCTGTAAAAATATATATTTTTATATATTTTATATATAAATCAATAAAATATATTTCTATAAAAAAATAAATAAAATATTTTTTTTAAAAAAGAGTCAGGACATTAACATAACAAAGCACTACTAGTGTGGAGACGCTGGGCACTTTACAGAGGCAAATGCAAACCCCACCCCCCTTCCTGTGGGTAAAGCCTCCGGGAGGGAGCACCCGCTGAGGGAGGGGTGGGGGCCGCAGGGCCACAGGTGAGGCGGAGGGGACAGCACGAAGGGTCTGCCCGGCAGGCTGCTGCAAGGTGTATTCGCAGCGTGAGTTCCCATTCTACACCGACCTCCGTGAGTCTGGCTGTGCCGGAGTCACCCTTCACTCAGGCCATTTATGTGGCACTTCTGACAGACAGCGAGGCTCTGCACCCGCCCGTGTTCCCCAAGGAGGCCTTTGCAGGAAGTCTTTAGGGGTGAGGACTGTTAGGGGGGAGCTGGGGGCAGAGTCCTTACAGTATCTCGAGAAAAGGAATTGTCTGAGATTCACGCAGAAGAATAAGAGATTTGTTGTTGCCAAAACCGGTTTGGCTCAGTGGTAGAGCGTCAGTCTGCGGACTGAAAGGTCCCGGGTTCGATTCCAGTCAAGGGCATGTACATTGGTTGCGGGCACATCCCCGGTAGGGGGTGTGCAAGAGGCAGCTGGTCGATGTTTCTCTCTCATCGACATTTCTAGCTCTCTAGCTCTCTCTCTTCCTTCCTCCTCTCTGTAAAATATCAATAAAATATGATTTTTTTTTAAAAAAGAGAGAGATTTGTTGTTGTTGTTGCTAATCCTCACATGAGGATATCTTCCCATTGATTTTTAGAGAGAGTGGAAGGGAAGAAACATCGATGTGAGAGACACACACATCGATTTGCTGCCTCCTGCACATGCCTGGACTGGGGCCAGGGATGGAGCCTGCAACCGAGGTATGTACTCCTGACCAGAATCAAACCCAGGACCCTTCAATTAGTGAATCGCATAAATAATAATAATAAAAATCATGGATTTTCTATTAGACAGGAATGTCCATTGTTTAGAAAAATACTACAGTTATAGGATTTGAAACTGGAAGAAATTTAGCCTGTCTTACCTCACTCCTTTATTTTTTTTAATCCCCAAAGTTTAATAACTTGGCTATGGTTATACATTAATGTGTAGGAAAGTGGCTATGAGTTCTAATCCCATGTGGTTTCCTTCAGATATTTTATGCCCACAGTGTTTGTATTGCCAAAGTAAAAATAAATAAATAAATAAATAAATAAATAAATAAATAATAGGACAGATCTTGAACTTGGGCACAAAGTTCCTGATGTAATATCCCCTAATACCACTAGGTGTCACCTTATGGCTTCTATTATATACCACTTGGGCAGGTCTTCAGCTAATGGGGAAAACCCAGTGGAAGGAATCTTTAGGGGTTTGGGGTTCTAGTTTAAGTCCCACATAAGCTCAGTGAGGATGCCGATAAGAGCACTTAGCTCGCGGAATTTTGAGGACTGTATGTGAGATACAGGAGGATGGCATGAGGTACCCTCAGTAAAACAGCACAGTTCCTGGTGACCACTGGCGAGCCTGCCGTTGTAGCTGTCAGATTACGTTTTCAACAGCAGGACACTCCTGTCCTCTAGCTCAATAAATTAGAAGAGAAATAAAATTATTTCAAAAAAGTAGCCATGTAGGTTGCTTGGTGTAAAAAAATAATAATTTCATATATATATTATATATATGATCAATGCAATAAAGCTCCTGTTCCTGTTGACATGGACTCTTTTTAAAAATATATATTTTATTGATTTTTTTACAGAGAGGAAGAGAGAGGGATAGAGAGTTAGAAACATTGATGAGAGAGAAACATCCATCAGCTGCCTCTTGCATACCCCTACTGGGCATGTGCCAGCAACCAAGGTACCTGCCCTTGACCAGAATCCAACCTGGGACCTTTCAGTCTGCAGGCTGACACTCTATCCACTGAGCTGAACCGGTTTCGGCAACATGGACTTTTTAAAATATACATATTTTTATTGATTTCAGAGAGGAAGGGAAAGGGGGAGAGAGAGAGAGAAACATCCATGACTGAGAGAGAATCATGGATCGGCTGCTTCCCATAAGTCCACAACTAGGGATCAAGCCCACAACCTGGGTATGTGCCCTTGACCGGAACCGAACCAGTTACCTCCAGTTCGTAGGCCGACGCTCTCTCCTGAGCCACACCAGCCAGGGCTGACACGGACTTCTCAGCCGTGAATATGCCCTGGTAACCGGGGCCAGGATGTGTGGAGATCAACTTTTTGAACGATGGAGCTCTGGGGTCAGAAACCAAACCTAACCCATCCTGCCGGCGATGGATCGAGAATTGAATCACAGCTCCAGCACCTGACCTGCCTACCAGCGCCCACATCTGTGCAATGGGGGGATGACGCACGCCGACAAGCCTGCTGGGGTGAGGAGCGGGTCAGACAAGGCCAGGCGGTGCTCAGAACGGTGCTCAGTCAACCCTGCCTGCGTGACCTAGAGCATGTTCCTTTCCCCCGGAGGCCTGCCTCCTTATTTGTCTCCGGAGGTTACTATGCACTTCCCAGCGCTGTCCGAAACACAGGATTCCCGCTCCAGCTCTGAGTTATCTGCTTCTGGGCTGAGCAGCCCTTTGGACCTACAGACTCCTTGGTGGATGGGAGCATGCGTTTCATGGGGACCGATACAAGTTTCCAACTTAGTGGGCTGCACCAGAGCCTGGGTCAGGACGGGGTGAGCCTAAAGCTCGGAAATCTGCAGGTGTAAGGAGGAGGCGGAACACAGGTGTTGAAGGAGCAGAGATGACGTATAAAAGGCATGCGGGCCAGTCCTGGCCACGCCCATTGCACGCTGCCTCATAAAAAACACTTTCCTTGCCCAACTGGCCTGGCTCAGAGGTTGAGCATCGACCTATGAACCAGGAGGTCACAGTTCAATTCCCGGTCAGGGCACAGGCCTGGGTTGCAGGCTCGATCCCCAGTGTGGGGCGTGCAGAAGGCAGCTGATCAATGATTGTCTCTCATCATTGATGTTTCTATCCCTCTCTCCCTCTCCCTCCTCTCTCTGAAATCAATAAAAGCATGTGTGTGTTTTTATTTTTTTTAAATGTGGCCTGAAATGTGTAAAAATCAGAACTTCTTTTACCCAAAATGCTCTACTACTTTAGACTTACATTTTTTCCAAATTTGAGAACCATTTTTTCAGCATTTATATGATCCAGAAAATTAGGATGGTGCTTTCTTCTTCGGTAATCCTCTTCAGTGAATGGAATCTCAGTGTCTTCCTGTGGAAGAAAACAGCCAAACTCGATGTGGCAGGGCCACGGGAAACTCAGCCCAGACCTGGTAGCCTGACTGTTCCTCTAATCCCAAATAAAGTATTCTAAAAACTGCTTCTCGTTTGCTTATTTTTTTGTTAATCCTCACGTGAGGATATTTTCCCATTGGTTTTAGAGAGTGGACCAGAGCGGGAGAGACAGACATTAAGGTGAGAGACAAAGCGATTGGTTGTCTCCGCCCCGACCAGGCCTGGGATTGAGCCTGCAACCGAGGTACGTGCCCTTGACAGGAACCAAATCCACGACCCTTCAGTCTGAGGGCCGACGCTCTATCCACTCAGCCAAACCGGCTACGGCTGAATTTCTTTCTGTTTCTAAGTTATTTATTTCAGAGTGATTTCCCCCAGACTCGTCAGATTTAGAAGCCCTAAAGTAGGATTTTAAAACGTAGTGTTCACTGCAGGGGTGTGTGTGTGTGTGTGTGTGTGTGTGTGTGTGTGTGTGTAGGTGGCCAGAGAAAGGTAAATTGGGGGGGGGAGGATTAAGGAGATTTACATAATAATTTAACAATAAAGAATCTATAATGATAAAGCATAATATGGAAATCGACCAAACAACTGAACAGCAGAACGACCGTCTGAGCAACCTTCCGGATGACCACGCTACGCGTCAGGCCAACCAAGGTGGGTGCAATGTGATTGGTCGGGGGGAGGGGGCTGCCATCACCCACGATTGCCCCACCCACAGAGGGAGGCCCAGGCCAGCCAAGCCATCATGCCCCACACCTGTCGCCCACAGAGGGAAGTGACCGGTGGTGGGGGAGGGAAGGGCAGTGCCATACAGATGGCAAGCAGTGGCAGCGGCAGGGGTGGGGAGGAAAGCCCTGATAGGCCTGATTGCCAGCCAGGCCTAGGGACCCTACCCGAGGGGTCCCAGATTGCACAGGCCCGGCTGAGGGACACCCCTACCCCCACTGCATAAATTTCATGCACCGGGCCTCTAGTTAAACAATAAAATAAAAGTATTCTCCCTCCGTTGTAAGAATAATAATAAATAAGACACAGTGTTCAGCGAGAAGCCTTGCACTCACACCCAGTCGGTCTCCGGTAAAGGACCAGTCCACCGTGGCTGCGTACGAGGCTCACGTGACATCAATCAGAGGGCCGGAGGGAACAGGCCCGGAGGTAGCACAGGTTTGAAAAACGGGAAGAAGGCCCACAGGGTCGGAGCCACGCTGGGACCTGGCCGGGGATGAAGTGGGGACAGCGGGTGATTGGGCCCGTGGGCCGCGTGGAGGACTGGGAGATTTACCCTAAGGGCGTCGGAGGGCCTTGGGGGCCTTCAGCAGGACTGTCGCACAGCTTAAGTTCAAATAAAGACCGCCTAGGTGGTTCCTTGGAGACGGGCTGGCGGAGGTGGTGACAGGTGCCAGTTGCAGGGCCCTGAGGGCCGTGTGGTGAGAGGCCGGGAATCTCAGGGGATGAGGAAAATGTCCTGTAGCTGATTGCTGTGGCTACACAACTGTATGGGCTTGCGTTAGACCCACACCACAAAGAGGGCCAATGTCACGGAATGCAAATGACACTGTAATAACCATGGACTTAAAATAATCAAAACTGGTTTGGCTCAGTGGATAGAGCGTCGGCCTGCAGACTGAAAGATCCTGGGTTTGATTCAGGTCAAGGGCATGTACCTTGGTTGCGGGCACATCCCCAGTAGGGGGTGTGCAAGAGGCAGCTGATTGATAATTCTCTCTCATCAATGTTTCTAACTCTCTATCCCTCTCTCTTCCTCTCTGTAAAAAAAAAAAAAATCAATAAAATATATTTTAAAAAATAATAATAAAATAATCATGAGCCCTAACTAGAGCTGAATTTGGCTCAGTGGATAGAGCGTTGGCCTGGGGACTGAAAGGTCCCAGGTTCGATTTCAGTCAAGGGCATGTACCTTGGTTGTGGGCACATCCTCAGTAATGGATGTGCAGGAGGCAGCTGATCAATGCTTCTCTCTCACTGATGTTTCTAACTGTCTATCTCTCTCCCTTCCTCTCTGTAAAAAATCAATCAAATATATTAAAAAAAAAAAAAAAAAAAAAAAGAATCTCAGGGAGCGGATGGGGGTGCCTGGACGCAGGGGCTAACGCCAGGGCCATCGCCCGCCTCTCCTCCACCCCCAGCCCATCTAGTTTACCGGCCATCATCCCTCCGGAAGTGGGCATGTGACCCCAGTGTGACCAATCGGAGCTCTGCATTCCCCTGGCCACAGTGACTGGTTGCTAGTCGGGCCGTGACCTCAGAGCTGGACAAACAGCGCCCTGCAGCTCCGAGACGGGATCTGGCCAGAGGGGGAAGGGACTGAACGAGGAGGCGCTAGGAGGTAAGCCTGGGAGCTGACCAGGACCCGGAGGAGGGGAGAAGCCCACTCGGAGGAGAAGGGAAGCAATGGGAGACAGACTACTTACAGGGTCCAGGGGCTTGGATCGCGCCCAGGTCATCACCGTGGAAACTAAAATGAACACCTTTCGCTTCTCAAAGTGGTTGACTTCCTCGTTCAGGGCTGTGGGGCCAAAGAGCCAGCGTTACTTGGATCCACACAGAACGGCGTGTGCACTTCCGAAGCCGTGTGTGCTGTTAGCGGGACTGGAAGCTGCTCCAGTTCCCAGCGTAACGCCGGGGTGGCGGCCCCTCTGAGGCTCGGCTGTGTGTCCCCTCCCTGGCGTCCTCCTCCAGCGCCTGGCCTCCTCTGCGCCCTCCCTCCCGCCCCTCCCCGAGCCAGCAGCTGTGTGCCTTCCCTGTGAGGAGGACCAGGGATGGAGACGGTCATGGCGGACGTGGATGGCATGACCCCTGGGCTTTGTGGGACGCTCCCACATGAAATGGGTGCTGCCCTGCCCTCCGCTCTAAGGGGAGGGAACGGAGGTCTGGGCTCTCGCTCTAGGCTGTTGGCCCAGCTGCAAAGGGAGGGAGCGGGAGGCCCCAGCGAGGTTGGGGAAGGGGCTGTGGGCACCCCAAAGCAGAAGGGAAGGCCTGCCGGAAACAGTCATTGTCACTAACGGAGAAATGTGAACGGGGAATCCGAAGGCTGGCCCACCTTAATTGCTCTGAATGGCCGGAGCTAATCACTCACTGTTTAGCTGAGGCATTGGTAGCTGAAGCGGCCTCCACCTGTTAGTCTTATTAAATTCTTGCTGATTGGCTATTATTGGAATTCCCTGCCTAAAGGATATGGGTGTATCTCATAACCTTAATAAAAGGGATAGCAAGGCCAGAGCAGCGGGTAGATCTCCCCCTAGAGGTGGGCTCCCGCCTGGCCCCCAATATTCCCTAATTAATACTTTTCTAGTCTCTTTTCATTTGAGTGCGGCCTTCTCCAGAACCCGAACCCGAACCGGAACCCTGAACCACGCGGGATGTGAAGGGGCTCCCACAAAGGCCCCTGGGAGTCACACAGAGCGGCCCGATGTGGCCTGAGCCCGTGTGGAAGGAGGTGATTTGGGGGGTGACGCCTTCCCCCTCCCCTGGGTGGGGGAGAGCGCCATGCCCTGGGGGCTGGGGGCCGTGTGGGGTGCAGGATGGGGATTTAGGACACGGTGGGCGGAAGGGGAGCATTTGACTTCCAAAGGGTTTGCCACTCTCCAGGGGGGCTCCCCCCGCACATCTAAGCACAGACTCTCCTTGGGTACCTCGCACATGCCATTCCACTCCAATATTTCTGATGGCGTGTGAACTCCCAGGGAAAAAATCCACCGGGAAGGCTGCTTAAGTTGTCAGAGGACCTAAGGGACACAGTCAGTCACAGTGTCATCTCACGAGCTGATTCCTTAAACAACGAGCAAAACGAGGAACCGCCGATATCCTGAATCTCCCAGCACCCGGGGAGGGAATCTAAGGGCGCCACGTCCAAGGGCGCTCTCACGCGGGTGTTTATTCCAGCTCCTGTCCTGATTCTATTAACAAAGACGGCCCCTCCGTTTGCCTCCCAGCCTCTCTCTGGCGGTTTTGTCTGGCCTACTTTGTGGGCGCCGCCTCAGAGCTGCTGTAACCGGGCTGCCGCCTGGATTTATCATCTTAATGGGTCAGAGCGATCCGCTTGTTCACTGTGGACAAGCACGCTTCGCCCACACGCGCAAATGTTTTCTCTCATTGCTAATACTGTCTCCCCTCTCCTCTGTCCTTTTACTTCCCTCCTTTGGCAGGATCTGAAAGGCAGGGTAGGAGAATTCTTTTATATTAAAACGTTCATATATATATACATATATATATGTGTATATATATATGTGTGTGTGTGTATATATGTGTGTGTGTATATATGTGTGTGTGTATGTGTGTGTGTATATGTATGTGTGTATATGTATGTATGTATATATATATATATATATATATATATATATATATATATGCAAGCCTAAGCAACCATTAAGACCAAATGACTGGAACAACCAATCGCTGTGATGCACACTGACCCCCAGTGGGCAGACTCTCAATGCAGGAGCTGCCTCCTGTGGGCAGAGCGCTCCCACAGCCAACCTCCTGTGCCTCCCCCATCCCCCGCCAGCTCCCCTGATCGCCCTGATTGGGGAGCCAGCCAGACAAACTTCCTCAGTCCCTCCCCCTGGACCCCGATTGGGGAGCTGGGGGGGAGGATGGCAGGCGACCCTACCTGCCCCCCTTACTGGCCAACCTCCCATAGTCCCTCCTCCCTGCCAGTTCACCCCCCGACCCATGGGCCTCAATCACCAGCCAGGTCAAGGGACCCCACCCATGCACAAATTCATGCACTGGGCCTCTAGTAATTTAATAAAACATTATTAAGAAGTAATACATATTCATTGCAAAATGAAACAAAACCCCCAAATCTAAGAATGTGCCTCAGGTAAACCAACAAAATCCCTCCCACCCCCACCCCAGCCTTCTCCACAGCCCCACCTACCCCCCTGCCCCCAGGGGACCCTGAAGACAGACCAAGGGCCTCTGACCAGACACAATCACTGTTTCTCAAAAACGAGGTAATACTGTCACCACCTTCCTACCCGATAGAGAGGTAACATTTTCTTACTTACAGAAAGCCCCTCAGCGGAATGAAGAAGGGATCCGTAAAACATACGCTGCACTCGAACACCCGTGAAGGAAATGCCGAGGTCAAAGTTTAAATACCAACTGCATTCCTTAGAGGGTCACTGGTTGGGGAGCCCTATGCGGGGCCGAAGGTCTCCCATCATAGCAGGAAGTCAGTGGTCAGTGTCCGAAATTCACAATCAAAGGACATCAGTGCAGGCATTTTTATGTGTTAAAAGGAACACGGGGGTTAAATGAGGTTCCTTTTAGGGAGTAGGGATGGGATGGGAAGAAAATGCAGGGAATTGTTGCTTTTTATTCTAAGCCCTCCTGCGCCTTTTAATTTCCCTTTTCTTTTAAAAGATTATTGATTTTATTTATTTTTTAAAATATATTTTATTGATTTTTTACAGAGAGGAAACAGAGGGATAGAGAGTTAGAAGCATCAATGAGAGAGAAACATCGATCAGCTGCCTCCTGCACATCACCTACTGGGGATGTGCCCACAACCAAAGTACATGCCCTTGATTGGAATCAAACCTGGGACCTTTCAGTCCGCAGGCCAATGATCTATCTACTGAACCAAACCGGTTTCAGCAAGATTATTGATTTTAGAGACAGAAAGGAAAAGAAAGAGATAAATCTTGATTTGCTGCTTTACCCACATCTGCACTCATTCGCTGGTCCTTGTAGCTACCCTGACCTGGTTTGGAACCCACACCCCCAGAATATCAGGGTGATGCTTCCACTGACAGCTACCAGGCCAAGGCTGTGCTTTTACACTTTCAAACCATGTCCCGGTTTAATTTCAGGAGGAAAAAAAAAAATTAAGAAAATTGCAAGGATTCATTACATAGAAAAATCAATTTCCAAAGCCTGGCACAACAGAACTCAACGCACATTATCTCTGATTGCTGCCGTAGGTGGTGCCATTGTCTCAGACGGCGCTGTATCCATCACGGGTGCTCTGCCCAGGGACCGCGTGCCCACAGCGGGCTCCCATAGCTCTGCTCCCACAACGTTCACGTCTTTGATTTGTATCTTATGGAATGAAAAGGAGGGAGGCCCAAAGTGATAAAGGGGCGGGAAATCAATCACTTTAAGCTCCCGAGGAATCCCATATGCCCACGGAAGCACTGTTTCATCATGATTTCCCCAAATAGGTAGCCTCATTCCTGAGGCTCTGCTCCATTTCTTTCGTTTAAGCCAGCGTGTGGCTTTGCTGTTGATATTATCAGGGGTTGGCAAAAGCGCTGCCTGCTTTTAAGATAAAATTGTATTGCCCAACTGGCATGGCTCAGTGTTTGAGCATCGACCTGTGAACTACAAGGTCACCTCTGATTCCCAGTGGTAGTGGGGTGGGGTGGGGGGCATGTGCCCTCCGTGTGAGCTTGATCCTCAGTGGCGGGCATGGAGGAGGCAGCTGATCAATGGTTCTCTCTCATCATTGATGTTTCTCTCCCTCTTCCTCTCTCTCTCTCTCTTTCTCTCTCTCTCTCTCTCTCTCTCTCCCTCTCCCTCTCCCTCTCCCTCTCCCTCTCCCTCTCCCTCTCTGAACTCATAAAAACATTTAAAAATAAAATAAAATTTAATTGGAACCAGACCATTCATTTACATATCATTTATGCTATGTTTTGGCTGTGATGGCAGAGTAGTTGGCTCAAAAAGCCCACAATGTTTACTACCTGGTCCTTCACAGAAGGAGTTTGCTGACCGCTGATCTAAACAGTCTAAAGCCGTGGTTGGCAAACTGCGGCTCTCGAGCCACATGCAAAGCTCTTTGGCCTCTTGAGGGTGGTTTTTCCACAAAATACCATGGGCTGGACGAGTCTATGTTGAAGAAGTGGCATTAGAAGAAGTTTAAGTTTTAAAAAATTGGCTCTCCAAAGACATTTCAACCGTTGTCCTGTTGGTATTTGGCTCTGTGGACTGATGACTTTGCCGACCACTTGTCTAAAGCAAACATAACACGGTGCAGAGCACTGGAAAGCAAGGTGTCCTGTGTCTTTCGGGCTGTCGCAGTCTAGAACAACGATTCCGATAAGCTGATCTGCTTTCTCCTTTGCCCCTGGCTTAATAAGGAGATGAGTTATAAAGCACCACGTTGCTAAACAGCACCTCGTCCTTTTAGAGTGGAGCTCCTAGAGTCCATCATCGCTTTCCCAAAGCATTTTCAAAGCTGCAAACATTCCCCGCAGCCCGCCCTCCCTCTTGCCACCAGGGGACAGACAGCTGCTGGCCTGAATCAAACCCTCACAGGGAGAAGCAGTTCCTCTCCTCGCAAAGTCACCTCCTGTGGTACCTTCCCGGGGGACGTGCCCTTCTCTGTCCCGCGGTAAAGTTTCCCGTGTGTTCCTCAGCTCTTTCTAGGCCTCCAAGCGCCTGGTGGGTAGCGTCTTTTTCTTATTTGCTTTGTATCTGCCCAATACCGGCAACCGCACCTCCTTAGGCAGTGCCCGCAGAATGAGTCAAGGTCACATTTGGGAAGTTAATGTTTCTTTTCTCTTAATGATTAAGAATATTCTGTTCTTGCCCTAACTGGTCTGGCTCAGTGGTTAGAGCATCAGTCTGCGGACCGAAGGGTCCCGGGTTCAATTCTGGTCAAGGGCATGTACCTTGGTTGCAGGCACATCCCCAATAGTGGGTGTGCAGGAGGCAGCTGATCGATGATTCTCTCTCATCGATGTTTCTAACTCTATCCCTCTCCCTTTTTCTCTGTAAAAAGTCAATAATATATATATATATTTAAAAAAAATATTCTGTCCTTAGGGATAGGATATTTTGTTAACGCAGTTAAACACGGAGGCCCATTAGACGGAGGTGGTTCCGATACCTTTGCAGCCCACAATTGAGCCAGTAAGTGCCTCAAAGTTAAGAACTCCAGCCCTGGCTGGGTAGCTCAGTTGGTTTGAATGTCATCCCGATATGCCAAGGTTGCAGGCTCAATCCCTGGTCAGGACACCCATGGATGCATAAATAAGTAGAACAGTAAAATAATACTTCTCTCTTTCTCAGAAAAAAAACATTTTTTTAAAGAAATAAAAATGTAAGGACAACCAATCACAGCCCACGAGGCTCTTCCAAATATGGCAAATGCTTCAGCTACAGCCAAGCAAATACTTCCTTAGCTTTGCTTCCTGCCTTTCTCTATACAAGACTTCCCCAGCTCCTGTGGATGGAGCGCTCCGACCCACTAGGTTGGCACTACCTAATTTGAATTGATTTTTGCTCAAATAAGCTCTTACACGTTTTTTTTTGTTTGATTGTTTTTTTAAATATATTTTATTGACTTTTCACAGAGAGGAAGAGAGAGGGATAGAGAGTCAGAAGTGTCGATGAAAGAGAATCATCGACCAGCTGCCTCTTGCATACCCCCTAGTGGGGATGTGCCCGCAACCAAGGTACATGCCCTTGACCGGAATCGAACCCGGGACCTTCCAGTCCGCAGGCCGATGCTCTAACCACTGAGCCAAACCGGTGCCGGCTCTTACACGTTTTAATATGCCTTTGTTTATCACAGGCCTATCCATCAGCCAGATTTCATTCTGTGCTCAGTAGGTCTCGCTTCTTCTAATGCTCCTAATTTGATGACTCCTCGTAAGTGAATTACACCAAAGCGGTGTCCCCCGGGGATAAGAGGGCCCCCTCACTGACCGGACACTGCCCAGAGGGCCTCCTCCGCCTGCTTCGGGTCCTCGGTGATGTTGTAAATGATGACGTCGCACTCCATCAGGCGCATGAGGAGCTCTTCCCGAGAAATGTCCTGGGAAGAGAGCCGGCAGTCATTTGTTCAGGAAGCTGACAGAGGCCCCGTGATGTGGAGACGGAATGACTCTTTCCCAAGGAGGTATCCTGCGAGGAAGGATCCCACGGAAAACATTTGCAGGAAAAGGGTTCCTTTTCAAATGAAATGTGGGCTCTCTTCTGTGGGTGGTTTTCAAATAACAAAGACGGAAATAGCTGGGAACTGATGATGAAAAAGTTGCAGAATGATCTTAGGTTTGCTGTTTGCACCCCAATTCAGAAGGGAAGAATTAGCACACACTGGGGGGGGGGGGGGGGGAAGCATTCAAAACTCACTCAAACTCTCTGCAGGATTATTTGAGCGATTGTATAATATATCCTGAGTCACTCAGCAGTGCTGATGAGTGATTTATGGGTATGGTTTCAGCATCCTCAAAATGAGACCAATCCGTTCTCTCTCTAGATGCAAGGTATCTTATTACAGTTGACTGTTGGGAATATTTTAAGAATACAGAAACTTTTAATGGTTAGAAATATAAAGTTCTTAGATTAGATGAAAGTAACTGGGGTGATCATGTGCTTTTTTTTTTTTTAACATGTTTTTATTGATTTTTAGAAAGAGAGGAAGGGAGAATAAGGAGGAGGAGGAGGAGGAGAAAAGAAGAGAAAAGAGAAAGAGAAGGAGAAGGAGAAGAAAGAGAGGGAAGGGGAAGAGAAGGAGAGAGAGAGAGAGAGAGAGAGAGACTGATGTGAGAGAGATCAGTTGCCTTCCATACACACCCTCACTGGGGACCAAACCTGCATTCTGGGCATGTGTCTTGACTGGGAATCAAACCAGTTACCTTTCGGTGCAGAGGGCGATGCTCAACCAACTGAGCTTCACGGGCCAGGTAATTGATCATCATGTAACTCGTTATTCCTCGCTGCTTTTCTGCCCGCACATAGTGCATTTCCGAGCAGAGCAATGTCCAGAGTGGGTGTTAAGATAACCAGAAGGACCAGCATTTCCAAACCAGAACTTGCACTGACCACGTGGGGTAACAGTGTTTCCCAGCCAGACAGCAATATAATGGCACGGGTTCCAAAGGAGATTTCTCGTCCCAGAGAGCGCCCACCGTGGCCCAGGGCTGTGCTGGGGTCATGCAGGGGAGAGTACGTTCTAAACACAGTCTATACAGAGAATCTGAGGAGTCTGGAATCAAACCAGGACCCTTCAGTCCACAGGCCGATGCTCTATCCACTGAGCCAATTTAGCTAGGGCTAACTTAAATTCTTTTAAGTCTCAACAATGGGGGTTCATTTCCTTTAAAGGACAAAGACCAGCCCCCACCTTGCCCCTCACCTTCCCAGGCCCCACACACGTGCAGAAGGCGGGGAATGAGAAGCAGAGCGAGGACATGTGGGGAGGAGGGTTTTCGGGGGTGGGGGGGCAGGTGATGCTTCCTTTGTCTGCTCTCAGCAGGAACCACCAGGACTTACGGTGTACGTCTCCAGGGCAAAGTCGGGCGAGGGTTTTCTGGATGTGGAGAGCGTGCCCACGATCTGGAACGTGCCCTCCTTCAGTTTGGATGAGGAGGCATCGGGCAGGGCTGACTTACTCTCATCCTCCTCCTCTTCTTCCTCTGTCATTTCTTCCAGCGAAGCCCCGACCACACAGTTCGACAGAAACTGCAAGACAAGAGCCATTTCTCCAATACTAAGATCACCTTGGAGTAAGGGCAGGCAATGAGTGATGATTCTAAGAGCTTGCCTTTAGTTAGGGTTGCTAGAGGTGCCACACATGAAAATAAAATACATTAAAAAATATTTGTATTGATTTCAGAGAAGAAGGGAGAGGAAGAAAGAAACAGAAATATCAATGATGAGAGAGAATCATTAATTGGCTGCTTCCTGCACAATCCTCCCCTTCCCCCCACTGAGGATGGGGCCCAGCAACCCGGGCATGTACCCTTGACTGGAATCGAACTCAGGACTCCAGTCTGCAGGCCAACGCTCTATCCACTGAGCCAAACCAGCCAGGGCTGAAATACTAGTACCTTCTTTAGAATGAGCATCACCATGTGTGGCTAAAGAACAACTTAGCCTATTTGCATGTCTAGAAGCTCTTTCCTTGACTTTTAAAAAATCCTATATAATAAAAGCATAATGTGCAAATCGACTGGTCGCTATGATGTGCCCTGACCACGAGGGGGCAGATGCTAAACGCAGGAGCTATCCCCCTTGGTGGTGAGTGCACTCCCACTGGGGAACCACTCAGCCAGAAGCAGGGCTCATGGCTGGCAAGCGCAGCAGCGGTGGGAGCCTCTCCTGTCTGTGCTGCAGGCAGGGGGTAAGGAGTGAGGGGTCCCAGACTGCGATAAGGATGTCCTCCATAAAAAAAAAAAAACCAAAAAAAAAACAAACAAAACAAAACAAAACAAAAAAAAAAAAAAAAACGGTTTGGCTCAGTGGATTGAGGAGTCCCGGGTTCGATTCCAGCTAAGGGCACATGCCTGGGTTGCAGGTTCAGTCCCCAGTAGGGGTGTGCAGGAGGCAGCTGATCAATGATTCTCTCTCATCATTGATGTTTCTATCCCTCTCTCCCTCTTGCTTCCTCTCTGAAATCAATAAAGAAATACTGTTAAAAAAAGAAAAAAAGAGAGAGAGAGCTCAGGCTGTGGATTCAGAGAAGACCTGGGATTGAATTTTAGCTCTTCTACTTCTGAGCTGGACTTTGAAAGCAAACAAAAACATGAAAAATTAGATTTTACATGTGTGTTGCTATAAAGTCAAACAGAATCTTTGACCCTCAAACTTCAGTTGCTTCCTTCTGGTTTTCAAAGAAATGGGGACATTTTTCTGGGCCCCAAAGCCTCGTGGGCCCGGGGCACTGTCTGCTACGCCAGTGACTCGACCCTGGAGCTGCTGCGGGTCACTGCCCACCGGACCACTCTGTCCTCTGAGAAGGCCAGCCTGACCCACCGCAGGGCCTTTGCCCTTGCCGTGACCTCTGAGAACTGGCTCCTGGGGCTTGCTCCTCACGCTGGGCAGGATTAAAGGGCCCCTTCGTGCAGCTCTGTGTGAACTGCTGCTCTCGCCCACCACTCAACGTGTAGGTCCTCTGGTCCGCAGAGTATTTATCCTGCACTGAAATATTTTGTTTATACTAAATATTAGTGATTGTCTGTCTTCTTGGAGATGCAGGGCACATGATGGCAACCATCTTTTTTTTTTTTTTTAATATATTTTATTGATTTTTTACAGAGAGGAAGGGAGAGAGATAGTTAGAAACATTGATCAGAGAGAGTCCTTGATCAGCTGCCTCTTGCACACCCCACACTGGGGATATACCCGCAAGCAAGGTACATGCCCTTGACCGGATTCGAACGCAGGACCCTTCAGTCCCCAAGCCGACGCTCTATCCATTGAGCCAAACCGGTTTCGGTGCAACAATCTTTTTTTGATCGTATTCACTGTGATATTCTCTGTTGCCTGCCTTTGGGTAGGTGAGCATGAATGAAGCCCAGCCAAAGAGCTGACACTAGTGAACTTGCTTGTGTATCCTTTGAGACATTTTCTGTGCATAGAATATCTATCTAACAATCAATCTATCTTTTCTATATCTATTTTTTGAAAGACACACAGAAGTACATACGACATCTGTCTTTTTAATCTTCCTTTTCTTTAAAAAAAAATGTGGTTAGCCCTAGCCGGTTTGGCTCCGTGGAGCGACGACCTATGGACTGAAGGATTCCAAGTTTGACTCCAGCCAAGGGCACATGCCTGGGTTGTGGGCTCAATCCCCAGTAGGGGGGTGTGCAAGAGGCAGCCGATCAATGATTCTCTCTCATCATTGATGTTTCTCTCTTCCCCTCTCCCTTCCTCTCTGAAATCAATAATATATATATATATTTTTTAAATTGATTATTGCATTTTTTTAGTTTTTATTTGTCTTTGTTCCTTCTTTCCCCCTTTTCTGGTCATGTGATTTCAGTCTCTTCTAGGAAATATCTATTATATAAATACATATAATATCACATATACTCTATATCATTGATAATGATGTGCTGTATAAGAGATACTATTTTTATATATAAATTATATACCTAAGTCTATATATTTTTGACTGATCAACTTTAGATGACATACCGAGTGGACCATTGTCCCCTCCCCCACAAAGTCCTGTCCCCCGGAAGGTGTGAATCTGACCATAGTTGGAAATAGAGTCTTTGCAGATGTAATCAGGTTAAGTGAACTTACGCCAGGTGAGGGTGGGCTCTAGCCCAGTGACTGGTGTCCTTACAGAAGAGGGAACTTTGGGCACAGAGACCCTCAGGGGGGAAGACTGTGTAAAGACGGTGGCAGAGTTCAGAGTGACCATCCTATAAGCCAAGGGATGGCCAGGACCGGGGCAGTCCCAGGAGCTGGGAGAGAAGCCGGGACAGACCCTCCCTCTGGCCCCCAGGAGGTGCCAACACTGCTGACGCTGTTTCCACTTCTGGACTTCCGAACCCGGAGAGAAGTTCCATTGTTTTAAGCCACCCAGTTTGTGGTCCTTTTGTTACCAGTCTTAGGAAATCACTAAGACCTCCTCAGGAAAATGACATAATCATGGCTTTCTTTCTTTCTTTTTTTAAGTTTATTGTTCTTTTTTTCTTAAAAAAAAAAATATATATATATATAATATATATATATATATATATATATATATATATATATATATATATATATAATTGATTTTTTACAGAGAGGAAGGAAGAGAGATAGTTAGAAACATCAATGAGAGAGAAACATCGACCAGCTGACTCCTGCACACCCGCTACTGGGGATGTGCCCGCAACCAAGGTACATGCCCTTGACCCGAATCAAACCCGGGACCTTTCAGTCCGCACACCAACACTCTATCCACTGAACCAAACCAGTTTCGGCATGGCTTTCTTTTTATGGCTGAGCACTTCTGAATTCTTTCTGAATGTCTTCATTTCCCAGCGGTGATCGATGGAAAAGGGTGAAAATGCTTAGTGGCACTCAGGACCCCAAACAGCGCCTGGCACATAACCGATGCTCAGACCGTAAGTTGAAGGATGGCTGAATGGAAAACACTTTGAGGGTGATATAATTGGGCGATTTTTTAAAAATTACAGTTGACATATAGAATGTCATATGCATATGCATAGGGGTTAGACAATATATTCTTTGCAAAGTGTTCCCCTGACATTCCCAGTACCCACCTGGCACCATCCATAGCACTGCAATATTTTTTTTACTGTAACCCCTATGCTGTATACTTTATACCCCCATCCCCGTGACTAATTGGATTTATAGTCTCATCAGCTGCTAGCTTCAGATGCGGTGGTGGAGGGGAAACAGAACTCAGTTAAGGGGTCAGAGACCTGGGTTCTATTTCCTGGTTCTACCTCCAACCCACTATGTGACCTTGGGCAGGCCCCTTCCTTCCCCCGAGCCTCAATTTCCCCTCATTAGCAGGGGAGGACCCAGGGCTGGACCCGCGATCTCGGGGGTGGGGGCGGGAAGAGGACTTCCAGGGGGGGTGGCTGTCTAGCCTGGATCCGGACTGGGGTACTGGGGGCACTGGCTGTGCCCAGGACGAGGGACCCTCTCTTCGGAGGGGCCCGGACAGCAAGCCCGTGGCACCGGACCTCTCAGGGTTCGGGACCGGGACCCGGGCGGTGGAATGGGGTTGGGGGCCGGGGTCCCGCTGCTGCCGCTCACCTTCCCGATGTTTCCGCTGCTGTAGGAGTCCAGCAGGTTTATAAACACCCTCTGGATGCGGATCACTTTCTCTGTCCGGCCGATTTCGTCGTCGTCAGCCATGGCGGGAGCCGAGCTGGTAGCTAAGGGGAAAGCGTCCCTTTGGTTGCCAAGGCGGCGAGGTCAAGGGCTCCGGACTGCGGGGGCCCTAGCCGCTCTCCGGAGGCGGGGCCTAGGGTGCTGGGCGGGGCTCCACGAGTGGGCGGGGCACTGGGTCCCCGCGTTTGCTGGGCTCTCCGGGGGCGGGGCCTAGAGCGCTGGGCGGGGCGTCCGTGGGTGGGCGGGGCTACTAGGTCCCTACGCTTGCAGGGCTCTTCGGGGGCGGGTCAGAGCGCTGGGTGGGGCTCCATGGGTGGGCGGGGCCATTGGTTCCCCGAGCCCGCTGGGCTCTCCGGGGGCGGGGCCTAGAGCGCTGGGCGGGGCCCTATGGGTGGGCGGGGCACTGGGTCCCCTAGCTCGCTGGGCTCTGCCCGGGCTGCGGAGCCAGCTCTCCGCGCTGTGCCTGCAGCCCGGTCCCCCTCAGCCCTGCTGCACCCCGTGTGCCCTCGGGCAGGGCGCGACCTCTGTTCCTTTTCTCCTCTTTCTTTCCGACACTCGCCCCAGTGTCCAGGGAGGACTAGGAGGACTAAGATTAACCTGATGAGAAGGTGAAGCCTACCGCCTAGGGGCTTCATCAAAAGGAACAGCCTGTAATTATTGGAATGGAGAGTCTAGGACGCAGGGGTCAGCAAATTCATTAGTCAACAGAGCCGCGGTTTGCCGACCAACTTGGCCTAGGCCTCCCCTGAAATGTTGAGTTAATGTGAAATGGCCTGACCAGGAGGACTTGGCGTACTCCTCAACTGATCTGGACACGTGAACGACAGCATGGGTGCCCCCCTCCTCACCCCCATCCTCGCGGCTTGGTCCATGGGGCTCCGCTGGCCTGGGGGTCATTTCCTAACAAGGAGGAGGGTGGGGTGGAGGCAGCCGGAGGCCAAGGGCTGGGGACCCAGTCGTGGCCTCTATGGGATGGAATTTAGGTGTTGACCTTTCCAAATAAGACTGCACGTGCAGTTGTCCACAGAAACTGACAAGTGAATAGATGACATTCCACTCTTAAGACTTCTACATCTTGCCATTTGTTATCTTGGAATGGCCTGATTCTATTGGACTATTTTTGTGCTTTAAACATTGACTTGCTAAAGGTGCTAATAAATACATAACATATGCAGCAATCTTTATAGCACGTGGCCTGGGAGTGCCAGAAAGCTGGGAGGCTCTGGGCTGTCAGGCACTCGGATTTGGCTGAGTTCAGCTCTGCAGCCTTTTGCTGGAGCCTGGGTTCCACCGTTTAACCTTTCCCAAACTGTTACATTGGCTGCAAAACAGGGTGAAACCACCAGCCTGCAGGGCTGTTAGGGTTAAATAAGACACGCATGAGAGCACTTTCTGAAACGGTCTCCGAAGGTGCAGTCACTTTTGTTCTGTAAGCCTAAGGTTCACTGCTCCAAACAGGAGCTTTTCATTCCTTGTTTTTTGTTTTGTTTTTTTCCTCACCTACTTTTCTTGTTTATATGTTTCATTCAAGCTTCTGTTTTGATAAAATAATTGACACTTTGACATTTGCACTCAATTTTGGAAAAGATTGCTCATAGTCACATTCTTTCTAAAAGATTATCAATAAAACGCTGTCATCTAAAATATTAAAATATTCATGCACGACTAGTGCAAAACTTGATGGGATATTTTCCACCATCCCTTCAAATGGCTTGTTAGATCAAATATTGTAGTACTCCCTAGAAGCTTCATTTCCAGATTTTTAGTTTGTCCCTACTGATATGAAGTTTAACAGATACCTCGAAAGTTATCTACTGATCCTTCTACTATGAAATATCTCACCTTTGTTTCCTCCTCATACTTCACACTTCTGATAACGGGTCAGTGTGTTAGTGCCAGAGTTATGAGGGATTGCTTCCAGAGAATTTTACCTATGGTAGGTTGGGAGGTTCTGTTAATTCTGTTATACCAGTTAACACATCTTTATATATATATATATATATATATATATATATATATATATATATATATATATTTGATTTTTTACAGAGAGGAAGGGAGAGGAATAGAGAGCTAGAAACATCAATAAGAGGGAAACATCGACCAGCTGCCTCCTGCACATCCCCCAGTGGGGATGTGCCCACAACCAATGTACATGACTTTGACTAGGAATCAAACCTGGGATCTTTCAGTCCACAGACCGACGCTCTATCCACTGAGTCAAACCAGTTTTGGCAACACATCTTTTATTGTTATTCCTTCCCTCTTTTAAAATCACCTCTCATATAACCAGAGTTCAGAGCTGCTCTTATTAACGCGCATTGTGTGGGCTCTGCTGTGGAGTCAGAAGACCCGTGTTCTCCCCAACTCCACTGCTCACAGGTGGGCTGCTGCACATGTCCCTCCACCTAAGTCTCAGCTCTGTTATCACCCACGGGTGGAAGGCAGAGTTCTCAAGTTAACATGTCAGGTAGACTCAGTGTTCTCCTGACCTGTTCTCCCTTGACAATCAACACATTTTGTCTTTGAACACTGGAGAGAGAATGGTGCAGTGTGCGATGGAAGAGCTATGATCGTGATCCCACACACTGATTCGATTCGCTCTGTTGGAAGTGTAACAATTGACTCTGGACCCAGGGGAAAGGTGGGAACGGTGTTACCACGGGGAGTGAGGATCCTGGGAGTGCACACAACTGAACACAGATTGGTGCTTTTCCTAGGTTCTTCAGCTTGCTTGAATCCCAAATCTATTGCTTCCCCCTACAATCTACATTAATAAAAGATGCAAATTGGCCATACCTTTGCAACACCCACAAGCCAATCAAAGATGGCAGTTTAATTTGTATACACAGGTTCCTAGTGGCTTGGGGTGGGACACAGGCATTCCACACCACCCCAACCACTCTGGGCCTCTGGGCAGTGTGGGAAGGTGGAAAGGCAGTTCCAGCTGGAAAGAAGGTGGTGCAGGTAGCCAGAGGAAGGAAGGCCCATTCTTGCATGAATCTTCGTGCATTGGGTCTCTAGTTAGTATATATAAGCAAATGTAGAAAATGTGAAAAAGTATTGAGAAAATGAAAACTACCTATGTTACCACCTGCTGAGGACTATGAACATGTAGAATATTTTACTTCATTTTCCTGTTCACATAGATCAGTGTTTTCCAAAATAAGTTAGTTTCATTAAAATTATATTTTTACTGATTTCAGAGAAGAAGAGAGAGGAAGAGAGAAATATCAATGACGAGAGAGTATCATTGATTGGCTGCCTCCTGCACACCTCACACTGGTGATCAAGACTGTAACCTGGGCATGTGCCCTTGGCCAGAATTGAACCTGGGGCCTTTTGGTCTGCAGGCCAATGCTCATCCACTGAGCCAAACTGGCTAGGACTAGTTTCATTTTTTTTTTTCCCCACATAGTTTCCCCATTGTTATTTCTCCTCCGCCTGATGATTTTTAATGGCTGTACATTTTCCCATTAATGTGGTATAACTTAATCACTTTTAGAGCCATTCCAATGGTTCATTAGGCAAAATGAACATCCTTGCAGTATATGTCCTTGGAATCACTCACCATGATAACTGGCTAGGATAGCACCAGAAGTTACAAACTTTGTAAAGGCTCTACTACTAATGTTTGCCAGAAAGGTTGTGCCAGAATATCCTCCAACCTTACTGCTATCATTATATTTAAACTAGAGATCCAGTGCATGAAATTTGTGCACTGGGGGTTGGGTTGGAGGAAGGGGTCCCTCAGCCCAGCCTGTGCCTACTCACACTCCAGGACCCTTTGAGAGATGTCCGCCCGCCTGTTCGCTGCTCCTTAGTGCTGCTACGGAAGCAGGCGAGGCCCCTGTCACCGCTGTTGTGCTTGCCAGTTTGTGAGCCTGGCTTCTGGCTCAGTGGTTGACCACCAGAGGGCAGCTCCTGTGTTGAGCATCTGCCCCCTGGTGATCAGTATACATCACAGTGACCAGTCTTTCTGGTTGTTCCACAGTAATGGTCGCTTAGGCTTTTATGCCATACTAGAGGCCTGGTGCATGACATTCGTACACTGGGGGGAGTGGAGGAGGGGACTGAGGTACACGGGGCCTCTAATTATATAGATAATAGAAATTATTAAATGATTAGGTGAAATGGCCCAACATAGCCAAACCTATTTACCTTTCTTGAATTACTGGTCAGGTTGAATATCTTTCAAGTAGTTACTAGTGGATATCTGTATTTTTTTTTTTTCTGAGTTGTTTATATCATTTGCCCATTCTCATTTTTAAAAAAAATTTACTTGAGTGATTTTTCCTTTGGAAGTGTTTTTAAGGCTTTAAGCTATCTGCTTTAAACAATCTTGGTAAAATTGAGGTTTCACAATCTAGTGGAGGTTTTATTATCAGTGTTTTACTAAGTCTTCTCTTCCTGTTCCTCTTTCATAGTAATAAAAAGCGCAACTCACCTCACATTAAAATGTAACAATACTGAATTCAAAAATGGAAATGATATTGCATTGGCTTGCTCCCCAGATCTCATTGCAAAAGGTCACAGCTTAAGAGCTCTGTGTCACTAAGCATTGATTAACCTTTCAAGCAACACCATTGTGGCAAGACTTTGGAGTGAAAAGTCCAGGTTTTATAAACTCTTCTATTTAAGAAAAAAAAGAAACAAAAGAAACAGAAGTTCTTGAAATCAATCATTTATCACAAAATGAACAATTTCAACTTTCAAACATACAATCATTTTTTTTCTGCATACTTAACTCAAAATGAACAGATAGAATTTTATTCAAACTTTACAAAGATCCTTTACAATTAGCCTGAGATTGTTCAACCTGAAGTGAGACTTCACTGCCCAAACAGTTAAGCATCTGAAAGCAAAGCATCTGAAAGCAAAGCTGAGAATGAATGTGCATTATCAACCATAATGAAAACATTCCAATGAGGTTTGCAAGAAACATGACTGGAATCAAACTCTAACTCGCCCTGGTCTACAAAACCTTCAGAGCCTGAAAGTACTTATTACTTAACAATGACAGAAAACAAAGCCTGCAAATGACAAATTCCCGAAGGAGTGTTTAAATGCAGAATTCTAGTTCAACATTTCTAACAGCTGCTGCTCTTGACTGTTAGTATTAAAAAAAAACAACTCCCCCAATCATTACTATGCAACATGTTCTTGAAAACACATAGCAGCATGGTATAGTTTACTAAGTTTATAAACCTTAGTACCTGTAGTAAAATATAAAATACAGATTTCTCCCTTTTTCAAATATGAAGTCTCGGAATGCTTCCTTCATCCTTTGGTTTTCAAACCCACACAATGCACTCAGATTACACGGTGGGTTCAGCATTGAGACAAAACACTGCACCTCTGCAGGGAAAGGAGGGTGCTGTGGGAATACCAAAGTACATTATAGAAAGTAAACACTGAGGCAAAAATACTTTCTGAATATATACTGTACATCATGTAAACAAACGTTCATAATAAGAATCAACACAGGCCAAAGATCGTTTAGGAAATCAGAATCTTCTTTCTTTTAAATCCCACACACTGAAGATGCTTTTTGTTAAGAAAAAGAATGGAGCCTGTTCCTCTATTTGCTTATGTGCTTAAACACCTTGGAAAAGTTATTACATTCATTTGCTAACGGTTATCCTCTTAGTTCGCTGGCTGTTGCAAACAAGGAATACAGGACTAGCTCAGTCCCTGTTGTTCATTGAATACTAGCTAAGTAATATATATTTAATCCATCTTTATCAGTCCATATCAGTCATATAAATAGATTAAGTGATTCAGTGAATTTCAGATTTTGTGCAGGGGAAACCGGTTGATAATTTGTTTCCAGTAAGGCTAGTACCAAAATAATTATTACAAAGTTAGTCCAAGCTAGGAGTAAACGCCTGATTTAGCGAGCTGAATCAGTTTGCAGGTAGGTCCTTTTAAATCCTGCATTACTGTGCAAGTCCGGAAGTTCCCGTGTGACAGAGAGTGCTGGCAGCAATCGAAGTCCTGGAGTAACAGAATGAAACACTGATTTGGTTTTGAAATGCAGAGATACTACGTGAAGAAATTTGAAAGTCTTAATGATGGTATTACAGCAATTCCCTTCATGAATCAGGAACCAAGAAAGACGATTCATTCCTCAATAATGTTCTAAGTCAAAAGCCAAATTTGAAGCAAGAAAAGATAAAGACACAAAATCAAAGATGCATTTTCTATGACCATATGCGAGAATTTCAAGCTTTACATCAACGTTTTGTATCAGCAGCCACCCCCTCTGAAAGGAAAAGGCTTAGTCATGACTGTCCATCCCTCTTCAGAGCTTCCAGTCTTTGAAGAAGCGCGTTGCCGAAGGCGTCCCGGTAGGCGGGGCTGAGCGTGTCCAGCAGGGAGTAGACGGTTTCATGGTAGGGGCTCTGTAAGTGATCATCCACCTCGTCAAAGGCATAGCCTACTATCTACAAGAGAACAGGGAGTTCAATGATTAGATCTCATCATGGCAGCGCAAAAACCAACTGTCTAATGACACTTTTTCAATCAATAGTTAAAATGTGCATATTTTAATATAATTTTTTTTAATATTTAAGCAAGTTACAACTTATAGGAATAACCCTTGCAAAACACTCTCTTTATAATTTTGTTTTTCAGAATTTTAATGATTTGATTTACCAACTCCTGGTCCTAAAACAAAGAAAAAAATTAAAAAGCTATCAAAAGCAGTGTTGCATTTTCATAATTTAACACGTTTTAAAAAAATAAAACACTATGCTTTAATTTAATTCCACATGTATCGAGAGCCGATATATAAAAGCACTATAATAGATAATATAGCCGCTATTTACTTAGCTTCCTATGTAAGACTTCTGACTCTGATCAGAATTGGCCATACTTCAGCAGAGCTCCCTTAGAATTAATCCTTTGGACTCCTTTATAAAGAATGCTAGAAAGTATTTATAGCTTTAATCGTCCTTTATGATTAGTAATCTGAAAGACCATTTCACATTACTAATACATTACTTATCTAGTAGGGAAACGAATGAACAACTCGATGAGATAAAAGGGGATGTTACTGTTTTATTTATTTTTCTTTAAATGCAGCTAAAGCTTTTCTCTCCACCAACATTATGTGAGACATGTCACAGTTCACCAGCACAGTACAGGGCAAAATTACGTTAGCTTTTGTTGACCGACTAAAGCTTGTGAATTCCCTCGGTAAGCGCTGGGTTGTTATGCCATCTATTCAAACCGCAGAAGATGCAAGTTTATGTTAGATGTAGAAGTGTGTGTGTGGGGGGGGGGGGGGGAGGGGGGGAGGGGGAGGGAGGGGGTTACTGAAAAGCAGAGGCAGCCGCCCGAGGAAGCCGACAGCCTCTTCAGAACCACGTGTTACTGCAGCGCTTTTCACGGCGCACAGCAGCCGCCTCTCCGCGGGGAGATGTTCCAGGACCCCCCGCGGAGGCCTGAAACCATGGACAGCACTGCGCCCCACAGGTTCTTTGTTTTTCCCATACATACATACATACATACATACATACCTATGATACAGTTTAATTTATAAACTAGAAACAGTAAGAGATGAATGACTAACTAATAAAATAGGACAATTATAACAATATGCTGTGGTTAAGGTTATGTAAATGTGCCCTCTCTGATAACCGATCTGGTACCTGAGATGCTACTGAGTAACGGCGGGTAGTGTACATAGCACGGGTGTGCCGGCCAAAGGGATGTCCTGGGCAGTGTGGACAAGAAGGCACGGGGTTCACCGTACCACTCAGAGAGGCTGCAACTTAAAATGTCCAGGGGTGGCAAAAGTAGGTTTACAGCTGTGAGTACCTGAAACAGTTTATCCTTGTATTATTATTTATTAATTCTTACATTACTGATTTGTATTATTTGTCTCATTATTATTTGGTATCCTTACTTATTGATATATTTTAAAAATATATATTTTATTGATTTCGGACAGGAAGGGAAAGGGAAGTAGAAACATCAGTGAGAGAGGGAGTTGATCGGCTGCCTCCTGTACTCCCCTACCGGGCATCAAGCCCACAACCTGGGCATGTGCCCCTGAACCTCAGACACTTCAGTCCACAGGTCTACCTTCTATCCACTGAGCCAAACCGGCTAAAGCTGTATCCTTGTTTATAATTTATCTTTTACATAATGATGGCTGGTAATTTAACCTACTTTTGCCCAACCCTGTGTAAATTCTTTATTCCTGGAATTTTCCATTGAATATTTTCAAACCATGGTTGACCAGATAACTGAAACTGTGGAAAGTGAACAAATTATATGTGCATAAGTGGCGGGGGGGGGGGGGGGGGGAACCACTGTATTATAATTGTTGTTTTTTTAAAGGAGATTTTAAAAAATTACACACACACACACACACACACACACACACACACACTCTAGAGGCCCTGTGCACAAAATTTGTGCATGGGAAGGGGTCCCCTCAGCCCAGCCTACTCTCTCCAATCCAGGACCCCTTGGGAGATGTCTGACTGCCGGTTTAGGCCTGATCCCTAGATAGTTGATAGATCCCTAAACTGGCAGTTGGACATCCCTCTCATAACCTGGGACTGCTGGCTCCTAACTACTCACCTGCCTGCCTGCCTGATCAAACCTTATTGTCTCCCCCCCCCCCCCCCCCCAGCCTGATCACCTCTAACTTCCTCTGCCTGCGGGCCTTATTGTCCCTAACTGCCACCCCGCCCTGCCAGTCTGGTCGCCCCCAACTGCCCCCTGCTGGCCTGATTGTCCCTAACTGCCCCCCCTGCTGGCCTGGTCACCTCCAACTGCCCCCTGCTGGTCTGGTCACCCCACGCAGCCTGGTGTTCAGTCATTTGGTCGTCCCTCACTAACCCCCCTGCCGGCCTGATAGCCCCATGCAGCCTGCTATTCAGTAGTTACTGTTACTGTGATGGTATCCTGGAGAACTTGCATATTTATCTATTATTAGTATAGATATTTTTTTTATTGATTTCAGAGAGGAAGGGAAAATGAGAGAGAGAAACATCCATCATTGATTGGTTGCCTCCTGCATGTCCTCCACTGGGGATTGGGCCCGCAATCTGGGCATGTCCCCTGACCAGGAATCGAACAGTGACCTCCTGGTCACACTCAACCACTGAGCCACACTAGCTGGGCTGTATTACAGTTCTGTATGCCCCTTTCTGATCCCTGTAAGATTGGCCTTCCTAGTAGGATTGGGATCATATCTTATTCATAGTTTCATTTCTAATTCCTAACACAGGATAGTTGCTCAATGAATGTTAACTGAATAAGACTGAAAAAATATTTAAGTATCTACATGTCAAGTTTTATAACTGACCTAGTTCTTTCTCTATACTTTATTCATATAATCATCCTCCAATCCCTTGTGTTTTTAAACTTAATCTCCAGGTTACAGATAAAGAACCAAACTCCTAAAGGTTGACTAACTTTCTCAAAATCACTCAAATTCACATGTAAGAACCGGTCGTACTTCACCATAGTTACCTTAGAATTAATCAATGTAAAATATAATTACCTTATTCAAGGTCATATATCTCTACTTTTGATTTGCCTACTTCTATTTAAGATCCATTTCTGAAGACTATAAGCTTTTAGTATAAATTTAGGGATTGAGAAAAGAATGTAAAATTAGTTAATTCAAGTTTCACTCTCTAAGCTAAGCAGCTTGAGGGAACTGAGAGTAGTCAAGCTGCTGGCTTTGCAATTTTCTTCAATACAAATGATCCTTAACGAGGAGTACACAGAACATGGGGCTCATCTGCTTCCTAAATAGAGGTTCATATCGCCTTTGAACATATCATCACATGGCATTCTCGCCTGCTTAGGCTTTGGCCTCTACTTTATGTTCTGTGCAACTTTTTTTTTTTTTTTTTTTTTAACATATAAGTTAGAAACATAGATGAGAGAGAATCATTGACTAGCTGCCTCTTGCACACCCCCTACTAGGGATGTGCCCGCAACCAAGGTACATGCCCTTGACCGGAATCGAACCTGGGACCTTTCAGTCCGCAGGCCGACGCTCTATCCACTGAACCAAACCCGTTTCGGCTGTTCTGTGCAACATTTGAAACAGAATAGAAACAGAAAAGTCAGAGAACTTTGACTGAGACTGAGAATTAATTAGTAAAGTTACAACTAAATTTTGGAGTTTCTAATACTACTCCTTTGTTCAGTAGGTCAACATTTTTATAATAGTTGTGTGTTGTTTTTTTTTTTTTTTTAAACAAAAAGCTGGTTTTAGGTGGTACTTTCTACAATTCTAAACTCGGGATTCTGGTATAAAGGGTTTTAGGTCACTGCCTAGAACGGCTCACACGTAATAAAAGAACCAACAGATTCTGAGGTGCAACTGTCTGCTGAAACGTGTCTTTGATCTAACAGCTAGAGAGCAGGGGAGCCACGTGTGTTCTTTTCCCAGAAGAGACATTTGTAAGCAGTGAAAGAAGATCATCTCCATACAAGCCTATAATACTCACCCAGTGCAGGGAATGCTTAATTCTGGTGCACATATTTAACCGTAGGTAAGAAATAATTTAATTTTGGGGGTGATCATTAAAACAAAGTAATACTGCCAATCAATTTTTTTTTTTTTTAATAAAAACTCCATTTCCCCATGGTAGTGAAAGACTTGAGTATTATTAAAAATTCCTACATAAAAGTTTTCTTTTAAAAACTCCTGTTAGCTGCTGAGTGGGAGATCTCATTTAACACTCCTTGCCACTCCCTGACCCCTCTTTGATAAAGTGGTAAAAATATAAATAATTTCTGTCCTGGCTGGTTTGGCTCAGTGGATAGAGCGTCGGCCTATGGGGACTGAAGGGTCCCAGATTCAATTTCTATCTAGGGCACCTGCCTGGATTGTAGGTTCGATCCCCAGTAGAGGGTGTACAGGAGGCAGCCAATCGATGATTCTCTCTCATCATTGATGTGTCTATCTCCGACTCCCTTCCTCTCTGAAATCAGTAAAAATATATATATTTTTTAAAAAAAGATATACTTTCTTTTTCCAGAAAGAAAAGGCGCTCACCTTAAGGCCTGCTTCAGTGAGCTCCAGGCAGTACCTGTTCCTTTCTCTCGTTTCCACGTTGATGTAGGCTACATCATCGGCACAGCGCAGGCTTTTGGAGACAAACATGGTGTTCACGGCAAAGAGCACGTCATTTACCACTGCTTCCGCTTCTAGCCTCATGTCTTTCATGTCAGTTCCTTCAAAACCATTGAGCTCTGTGTTTTCTTCAAATCCTGACATAGTGCCTAGCTCCATGGGATTACAATCCGTCTCCATCCTGTAAAAAAGTAGACATGACTCTTTACAGAAAGACACTCCAGAAGTTATTGTGTGATTAAAGCAATGCCTGACATGCCTTACTACTGCTCTCTAGCAGAAAGCATGAACTAGTCAACAACTTTTCTGGAAAATATTGTTGAAAACCACTTCTAATAGGTTTTCACAGCAAAATTATATAGGCACATATAGATTTTCAGAAAAAGAGCCTCTGTTCTCCACTTCCCCCAAAAGGTAGCTCCCATATTGTTAAGAATTGAGAATATTAAGTTTTAGTTATTTCAAACAATGCCTCAGTAAAAATCTTAGTACATCTTCTTATGTGTAATTACTTTTCTAGGATATTTAAAACTGTAATTGCTGAGTCAAAGCACATGCTCATTTTAACTTTCAATAGATAATGCTGATTTACCCTTAAAAAACAAACAAAAAAACAATCAAAAACAAAACAAAAAAACTCCACCAAGAGACTATGCAAAGTTATCCTCTTTTGTTTTTTCCACATTCTTTCCAATCCTTTTTAATATTTGCCAATTTGAGAGGCAAAGTATGATGTCCTCAGCCATTGACCCTTCTTCACCTCCCACCTCAGAGAAACTGAATAAAAAATATCTGAGTAGCCGAAACCAGTGTGACTCAATGGATAGAGCGTCGGCTTTGGGACTGAAGGGTCCCGGGTTCGATTCCGATCAAGGGCATGTACCTTGGTTGCGGGCATATCCCCAATAGGGGGTGTGCAGGAGGCAGCTGATCGATGACTCTCTCTCATTGATGTTTCTAACTATCTCTATCCCTTCCTCTCTATACAAAATCAATAAAATATATTAAAAAAAATATCTGAGTAATTATTTTGGGTATTTTTTTCAGAGCTTTTGGGTCATTCCACTACACAGTCAACTCTAAACTATTAGCAAAATCTTAAGGAGCTGGAGTTCCTATAGTTGTTATTGACTCATTATAAAAGTCAAAACTATGCCCAGGCTGGTGTGCTCAGTTCACTGAGCGCTGTCCCAGTCACTGAAAGGTTGCTGGTTTGATACCAGTTCAGGGTACATGCTTAGATTTTGGGTTCGATCCCTGGTTGGGGTGTGTATGGGAGGCAACTAATTGATGTTTCTCTCTCACTCTCCCTCTGAAAAAGCAAGAAAAACATATATTTTTATTTTTAAAAAATATATTTCATTGATTTTTTACAGAGAGGAAGGGAGAGAGAGAGAGAGCTAGAAACGTCAATGAGAGAGAAACATCGAACAGCTGCCTCTTGCACACCTCCCACTGGGGATGTGCCCGCAACCAATGTACATGCCCTTGATGGGAATCAAACCTGGGACCTTTCAGTCCGCAGACCGATGCTCTACACTGAGCCAAACCGGTTTCAGCATAAAACATATATTTTTAAAAAGTCAGAACTATTTGCCAAAGGCAATTATAATAAACTATTAAAAACTCACACAAATGTACAAATAATACATTCCATCAGTCCTATTTCAACTAATAACATGCTTTAAAAACCCTTTATTTAGTCTCCTATAGAACTTTCAAGAATTAGTCACCCCTAACAATACAAGTTTATTATAAATTTACCAATTATTTTTTTTTAATTTACCAATTATTGTTGGATCCATTTGTCAGATAACTGAAATCTAATACTGAGTTACTGTATGAGTTAGTGAAAATATTTGTTTTCTAAAATTTCTACTTTACTCTAAAAATAATCATTATCTTTTTTTATGCTTGGTTTATGTATAAAAAATGAGCTCATTTTATTTATTTACAGCTAGTTTGAAGAAACATGACTGTCCACTATAAATCTCTTAACACCATGAATACCAAACATCTTCATCCAGTATCTCAGTTAGAGATGTCAGAAATAATAATAATCATTACATGAAAAAGATGCTTATGGGAGAACCTGGGCCAAGACGGTGCTGAAAATGGGAAAAGAACGGAGCCAAAAGTTGATGAGAAATGTTGCCGGAGTTCTGATGGCTGCCCAACCTTTGCACTTTCCAGTTATTGGAGCAAATAAATCCCAGCTACTTTCCCAACTGAAAGTATCCTAGGAGACGACTCAAAATAAAAAGCAATGATTGGTCTAGCTCTTCAACAGCTTTATATTATAGAAGAGGATGGGGAGAGAGGGGGAGAATGGAACCCTAACGATATTTTTGTACCTATCATGTAGAAAGTGTTTATAAAAACTTTGTAGAATTTGAATATTAATATATTTCTATGTTAGTCTGCATTGCTGCTGTCACAAATTACCACAAATGTAGTAGCTTAAAATGACATACATTTATTTCTTACAGTTCTGGAGGTGAGAAATCTAGAAAGTTCCTTTTGCCATTTAAGGTAACATGTTCACAGTTTCTCGGAATTAGGACATGGGCAACATCGGTGGGAGGCACAGTCTCTCTGCCACAGTGTCCATATTCTATCAGCAGGAAAAACAGTGTTAAGATAGCTAAAGAGACTTTGTTTTCTGCCCTTGCTTTTTGGGAAAGTTAATTAATATATTGGATGGGCAATATAAGTAGGCAGTTTACATAGTTCTACTATAAGGAGGCCCAGAGTACTTGTCAAGTTCACTGTCTCCTTTGGGAAGGTTCCTTAACAATAGGTTTCATGCTTTGTTCCTCTAGCACCATCATCACTGCACAGGCATTTTATAGTTAACCACAGAGTTACCATTCCTGGGGCCCCTCCTTCCTTTGTGTTGATGTACACCTGGGTCTACAACTTATATCATTTCCTTCTGTCATTTCAAATTTCCTTCAACATTTCCTGCAGTATCAATCTGCTGCTGTTAAATTCTTTCAGCTTTTGTATATCTGAACAAGACTTCCTTTCACCTACTATAATATTTTGAAAGGTATTTTTGCTGGGTATAAAAATCTTAGGTTGACGTTTGCCTCCCCCTTTCTAGACTCTATTACCATTTTGCTTGCACCGTTTCCTATGATAAATCTGATGCCATTGTTATCTTTGTTCCACTTGGTATAGTTATCCTCCCCCCCCCCCCCATGTTTCTTTTGCTTGAGGTTCATTGAACCACTTGCCTGTGGGTTTACAGTTCTCAATAAATTTCAACAAATTTTGGTCATTATTATTATCTGTCTCTCCACTCTTTGGGGACTCCAATTTTATTGTTGTGTCTTCAAGTTCACTAATCTTTTCCTTTGCAGTAACTAATTTCTTCTACTTGGGTCACATACCTATAGTAATCATGTGTCAAAATGTATTTAACTCATGAATGAAGGAACAAGTAAGGTATTAAAGTTGATGTAGTACTGTATATAGGAGAGACAAAATCAGTGAAGGGAGTATGTTTGCTATAAAATCTCCTGATTTTATTTTCCTTTTCTGATATTTGAAATTTCAGACATTCTATAAACAGCCTAAATGTAATTCTATATTTCAAAAGAAATCACTTACTATTTAACATGTGAACCTGAAATAAATCAACAGTACCTATTACTCAAGAGTTCAGTTCAAACCAACCAAGGCCTATTCTAATTCCCTGCCAGATGAGATCCCACCTTTTCATACCACTTTGTTTACACTCCTTTTAAGGCAAGTATTACTATTATTATTCACAAACATGTCTTATTATCTTCAAAATATGTCCAGAATCCAATTGCTTCTTCCCGTCCTCACTGCCACCACTCCAGTCCAAGCCACTCTAGTTCCACACAAGTCTATTCTCAACACAGCAGTTAGTAAAAACAGACCAGATTAGGTCACCCCTCTCCTCAAACTCCCTTACCCAGAGTGAGAGCCAATCCTATATAATCCTCCTATCTAATAAGAGAGGGATTTGCTAATGATCCATTTTGCCCTGAGGTGTAATGACCAACTGCATGACCACCGGATCATCAGGAGGGTGAGGCAGCTAGCTATAAGCAGGGGGTGGAGAGCTATAGGAGGGGGCAGGGCAGCAAGCTATGAGGGGGGAGGGAGAGACAGTGAGCTACAAGCAGCAGAGAGCCACCAGCGGTGGTGGGCAGGTGCCCAGCTGAGGCAAGCAGCAGCAAGCTACTCTGCAGGGATTGGTGCGCAGGGCTCCTAGTGTTCTTACAATGGCCTCCAATGTCTACATGACCTGACCCTCACCCCTTCGCTCCCTCGGGATAGGGCCTTGCACTTGCTGCTCCTCAGCCTGGAAAGAACTCCAGGTCTCTGCTAAAATGCCACCCTATTAAGAGGTCGTTCCGTACCCTTCCCTTCTCTGTACAAGTGCCAAATCTCTTTCCTCTCCATTCTCTTTATCTTTTTTAAAGATTTAAAAATTGATTTTTAGAGAGAGCGGAAAAGGAGGAGAGGAAAACATCGATGTGAGATGGGAACACCAACCCGTTGCCTCCTGCATGCCCCCTCCCAGAATTAAGCCCATGGCCCGGGCATGTGCCCTGATGGGAATCAAACTGGCAACCCCTTGGTGCAAGGGATGACGCCCCACCAACTGAGCCACTCCAGCCAGGGTTACATTGCTTTATTTCCTTATTTATTCCTACTGCACACATCACCATATGGCACATTCTTTGTAGAAAAGCAAGTATTGACTGTAGCAAAAACTGTCTAAGGGGTTCCTTAGACAGTTAGGGGATCGGTGGCTGTGGGGGAAGGAGAGAGGGGAAGGGAATGGCGGGGAGTGCGCGGGGTGGGGCATTATTTATTGTTTGTTTCCTCCGCCTTCAATGACACATCAGCTCCGGGAGGGCAGGGCCTTAGCTGGCTCAGTGGGTCTCCCCAGCACCAGAACAGTCCCTGGCTCATGCAGGAAATCAGGATTTATTTACTGAGTCAAGGACTAGCTCTTTCACTGTAGAACATAAGTTCCTTGAAGGTTCTGCCTGATTTTTTTTTTCCAAATATATTTAATTGATTTTTTTTTTTTTTTTTTCACAGAGAGGAAGGGAGAGGTATAGAGTCAGAAACATCCCTGAGAGAGAAACATGGATCAGCTGCCTCCTGCACACCTCCCACTGGGGATGTGCCCG